GTTACCGTATTGGCTGAGAGGGCAGATTTATCAAGGGGTGCCAGCCTGAATAAAATATTGGGGGAGGGGGTATGTGTGTGGGATGTGATCCACAAGGAGCAGTCAAGTACAACATTCCTTATAATGCTAGAGAAGACATGTGGGGGGGATGTTTGGTCCAGCCAGTCAAAACTTCCTGTTCCTCCTGGCTGGAACATCCTTCCTTTTGTTGAAATATACATTTTTTTTTGAAAAAAACAGAAGCATTTTTACTTGGTATTATAGGTCAGGACATTAATAGGCAAGATGTTAAATTGTTTTTATATGCAACAACTGCGGCAAGAGTATTGTTAGCCCAGAAATGGAAACAAGAAGAAATTCCGACGAAAGAAGAATGGCTGACGAAATTAATGGACTATGCAGAATTGGACAAAATGACAGGAAGGATTTGAAACCTGCGGGACCAGAGATTTACAGAAGATTGGAAGAAGTATATGAATTATTTGAAGAGCAACTGTAATCAACAAATTACGCTAGTAGGACTACAAGAAGTTTTGTCAGAAATATACGAAGTGTTACAAAGTCAAAAAAGATAGAGATATTGGTTATGAGTTTGAAATGTAATAGGGAAGATAGGAAATGCATACTGAGAGATTAGATTGGAAAATTTTCAGACAGGATTGATGGAAGTCAAAAATTAGAATAAGATGTAAAAGTATCTTTAATTACTGTTGAAAATTACATGTTAAAAAAACTAATAAAATTATTTTAAAAAGGAACATCCTTCCTTTTGCATGTGATAGAAGGTGGGTGTGACTTTACCTGTCCAGGTAACAAAAGGATGAGGCACGCAGCACTCTCTCTTTTTGGACTTCCTTCTACGTTTGACCAGCTTTTTAGCTAGGAATGCTCTGCTTGCTTTTCAGCTAGCAGAAGCACTGGGATTATTCCTCCATATGGGGTAGACCCACATGTACATATTTGTAACTAAGTCTGCCTTCAGGAATCCAACTGTGAACTGATGTGAGTAAACTTCTTTTATTAACTCTGAATAAGAATGTGGCGTCTTTATTCAAGGAATTCAAGGGAACTTAGCAGGAACTCACAATTCAGTCTGAGACAGATTGAACTGTATAATAGTGAGAGGCTCACACAAGCCTGCAACCAGCTATCTACCGTGTAAAAGGGGAATGCACTCTGCTAAGTAAAGGAACTTGCTGGCGCAAGTTAGGAAGGCTATTAATAAACAATATATCCTCTCCTGCCACCCTGAACATCCCCACAGAGGGCAGATAAGCACCGCCCTGCATAATCGATCACAAGAAGCGGCGCATTCACATCATTGGCCCATAAACTTTGGAGAGGCCTGGCCCCCTCAAATAATTGACTGGAGGTGGGGTGCTGAAGGGACCTTGGCCCCCTAGGACAGGCATAGGCAAACTCGGCCCTGAACGCACTTTGTACTAAAAAAACCCCAAAGCTTGCTTGCAAGCATACGCGCAGTGGATGTCGCCAAGAGTTAAGAGGAAGCCGTCATACTTGCTCTTCCACATCCAAAACATGGTTGTCCAGCACAAGCATTAGCAAAGGAGAAGCATAAGAGAACGAAAGAGAGGCGAGTACCGTAGCTGTACAGTGGTACCTCGGGTTAAGAACTTAATTCGTTCTGGAGGTCCGTTCTTAACCTGAAACTGTTCTTAACATGAGGTAACACTTTAGCTAATGGGGCCTCCCACTGCCACCCCGCGATTTCTGTTCTCATCCTGAAGCAAAGTTCTTGACACAAGGTACTATTTCTGTGTTAGCGGAGTCTGTAACCTGAAGCGCCTGTAACCCAAGGTACCACTCTAATCACTAGCCCTTTTTGTTGTTGTTTAGTCGTTTCTGACTCTTCGTGACCCCATGGACCAGAGCATGCCAGGCACTCCTGTCTTCCACTGCCTCCCACAGTTTGGTCAAACTCATGCTGGTGGCTTCGAGAACACTGTCCAACCATCTCATGGTTAAAGTATAGTTAAAGCTATGGTTTTCCCAGTAGTGATGTATGGAAGTGAGAGCTGGACCATAAAGAAGGCTGATCGCCAAAGAATTGATGCTTTTGAATTCTGGTGCTGGAGGAGACTCTTGAGAGTCCCATGGACTGCAAGAAGATCAGACCTCTCCATTCTGAAGGAAATCAGCCCTGAGTGCTCACTGGAAGGACAGATCCTGAAGCTGAGGCTCCAATACTTTGGCCACCTCATGTGAAGAGAAGACTCCCTAGAAAAGACCCTGATGTTGGGAATGATGGAGGGCACAAGGAGAAGGGGACGACAGAGGATGAGATGGTTGGATAGTGTTCTCGAAGCTACAAACATGAGTTTGACCAAACTGCGGGAGGCAGTGGAAGACAGGAGTGCTTGGTGTGCTCTGGTCCAGGGGGTCACGAAGAGTCCGACACGACTAAACAACAACAAGCATCTTGGCAGCGCCCCCCCCCCCCGCCAAGGCGCATGCTCCCCGCCCGGGAGGCGGCGGCTTTCCGCCGCTCCTCCGCAAAGAAGCAGGCTCGGCCGGCAGGGCGCGGGCTCCACGCCCTCTCCCGCTGCAGCGCCGCATCCTCTCTAGGCAGGCGGCAGGGCTCGGGATCCCCACCGAAGCTGCGCATGCGCCTTTGCTTGTCAGCTACAGGAGAGCTCGGAGACGAGCTGCGATGGGGGGGAGGCTCTCCAGCGCAGCGATACCTGCAGCAGAAATAAAAGCCGGTTAAAGCAGGCGACAGGTTGGGCTTCCAGGGGGCTGGGCGTTTTTTCGGACGCGCTCATAGGAGCCAGCTCCTAGGGGTCGAGGTCCCTTCGCCCCCCACATAAAATATTTGAGGGCGGCTGCTGCCCCTTCCCCCCCAAGTCGTTGGGCATCGCCATTCAAACGGAGCGTCTTGTGGTCGATAGCGCGGGGTGGGGCTTACCTTGCTCAGCCCCCCCATATTTTATTCAAGTTGGCACCCCTGCGTCACCTGGAGTGGTACAGTCCTGGGGAGGGGGGCGACACTTTGCCGCTGGATTTTGCGGCAGAAATAAAGTGGGCCACATACTAGAGGAGGGGGGAGGCAAGGAAGGCGCAGGCAAAGCGGCGGGGGAAAGGAGGCGGCCGGCGGAAGGAGGGGAGAAGAAAGAGACCCTCCCTCCCTTCCTCCTCCTCCTCCTCCGTGATCCCGAAGCAGTCGCCCCTTCCTCGCTGGCGATTTTTGTTCTATTCCGTCCCCAAGGATGCTGGAAGGAAAGTGACGGGGGGCGGCTCGGCGCCGCTGCCTGGGCTGTGGGGCGTTTCGCCGAGCAGAAAAATGTCGCTGCCTGAGGGAAAGGAGGAGATTCCGCTCGGTCCCCCTCCATGTACTAAGAGCTGACCGGCCGTCGAGTGTTTTTCTGCAGCCTCTGAGGGAAAAAAGCAGGCGCGCTGGGGAGGCCGGCAACTCCGCGTCGCCTCAGCGCCTCGCCCTCCCCGCGCCCTTTCCACCCCCAGTTCGCCTGCTCGTGGTCCCGCCACCCCACGGGAGCGGAGAAATGGGTTCCCGAGCGAGAGGGAAAGCGGGCGAGGAAGAGGAGCCTCTTCTTCTTTCGCTCCGGGGAGCGCAAACACGGAAAGGGGAGCAGAAGCCCGCGCTTTGGAGAGCTCATTTCGGGCAGGCGGGCGAGGAGGGTCCGGGATGCGCTTCCTGAGGAGACAAAGGGAGACGCGAGCTTCGCTTCGCCCCTGTGCCTTCGGGCTCGCAAAGGTCTCAGGCTCTCCAAAAATGGGTGACCCGGCGAGATTTCTGCTGGGGGGGGGTGCGCTTGGTAACCTTTTTTAAAATAAAGGAAACAACCCGCCCCCCTCTTTCTGAAGCCCGCCTTCGCCACGCGCGGAGAGGGTCTCCTGGTCTGCCTCTCCCCCGGCTCTCCGCAGCCTTGTGGAGCAACGACGAGCCCCGGGGATTTTTGCGCACAAGCGCAGGAAAGCGTTAACAGCCCCTTCTGAACTACCGCAGTGGTGAATGACTCATCCAATCACCGCGGAGCAGGAGGAGAGCAGCTGGGATCGGAGTCTCCGCGGAAGGGAATAGGCGATGTCACTTTCACTCGTGGGAACCCCACGGGGGTGAGGGGTGGGATTCATCATCCCTCAAGACGGGCGCGGATCCTAAAGGAACCCTTCAGACGAGGATCTCGCGTCTTCTGAAAGGCCGCCATCCCGTGTGCGCGCTCACCTTAGATGGATTAACTTAACCAAGTGGACGCGAACGGATCCGGGCTAGTCAAGGGCGCCGGGGAGGGGGGGAGGGATTTGCTGCATGTGGCGTCTGGAGCAGGGGCAGCTCCAGATGTTGTTAGCGTTGACACCAAACCCTACATGCATTAAGCAAAATAGAAACATCGCCACCCTCCCCCCCCCATGTCTCAACAAATGAAACTGATTTGTAAAAAATGTTACACGGAAAAAATATGAGAGACATTACGCATACTTCTGTAAAAGAAGAAAATCTTTAATAATGATAATAATAATAATGATGATGATGATGATGATGATGAAGTAGTCCCACCACATCTGCAGAGCACCACTATCCGCCCTGAGCTACCACAAATCTATCTTCTATATTCCCACGGCAGAAAAATAATTCAAAGCAAAAAAATTGCCAAAAAAAAAGGCTGCGGATCTGATTTATATCTGAAGTGTGCATTCGAATAAATTGTCTCCCCCTCGTTCACAGAAACCAAAAGTCGCGCATGCATATATATGTATATGTATATATGCATGTCCTCGCGCTGAAATGAAGAATGCAGTTCGTTTGCAGCATTCTGTTCCTAGATTCCCTTTTCCCTTGCTCGAGTGTCGTTTTAAGTGGAAACATGGCAAGCTGCTGGAAGTTGCAGCCCCCTCGACCCGCCCCCGAGCCTTCCCACCTTCCCCCCCACCCCACCCCGGCAAGCGAAGTCAGTCGCCTTCTTCTCCCCCAGCGAGGCGCCACATCTAACAGTTTGGCACAGGATTTCTGTAAGGCTCAGCAGGAAACTCGGAGCGCTGAAAGGTGACATCAAAGCGGGGGGGTAGGCAACGAAGCCTGTAGTAATTTGCCACCGAGAGCACCGGGAGAGGAGGCGTTTCCCCCGGCCCGCCACGCCCCCGGCCCCACCAGCCAGCGAACGCAACAACCAATGGGGAAAGGGCGCTAGGACCCGGGGGGGGGGGAAAGGACCCCCTTGCAAGCGGCAAGCGGCTCTGCTGCATTATAAATACTTCTCCAAAATGCGGCGGAGCTCCTTTCTCCCTTCGCCACCGCCGCCTCCGCACCATTAAAAAAAAAGCTGCAAGCGTAGAGCAGCCTCTTGGCAGGCAAGCTTCTCCCCCCCTTTTTTCTCCCCCCTTTTCCTTTTCTCCCCCCCACCCCATCCGACATTTCCTAAGCCCCCCTTTCCCCCCCTCCTCGGCCGGTTTGCATGCATTGTCTGTCTCCCAAAATGGTTTGTGAGACTAAGATAGTGGCGGAAGATCATGACTCGATTTCAGGAGCCAAAAAGGAGAGTCTGCTGGTCTCCTCGTCCGCTCAGATGTGGCCTTCCTCGCGGGCCGGATCCGGATCGCCCGCCGCGGGGCCGCAGCTGCAGCCGCAGCCTCCTCCGCCGAGCCCCGCGCCCGACGGCGAGGACCAGAAAAAGGGCGTCTGCATCAGGGAGTTTCACCCTTCCGAGCAGGAAGCGGTGCGCCGCATCTTCTACGAGGGCATCATGGAAAGGATCCCCAACACCGCCTTCCGAGGGCTCAAAGACCAGCCCTGGACGCAGATGGTCTACGGGACAATGGCCGGTAAGCGCGATCGCGGTTGCGGACACGGGGGGTGGGAAAGAACCGGAAGCGATCGCCTTAACCCCCCCCCCAACGCATCTCCCGGTGCACAGCAGGGAGGATCGGCGGAGCCTGGATGCGCCTTCGCGGTACCGGCAGGAGGCGGCGGATGCTCCGTTCGCCGCAGCCCCGACGGCGCGCCCGGCTGCAGCTCCCTCGCCGAGCCGGAGCGCGCAGCAGAAGCGCGCGCGGGGGGAAGGGGGCCCTCTGCGGGCCGCGGATGGGGCGCCTTTCCGGGCCAAGCCAAGCCGGCCTGATAGCCTCCAGATCGGGGGCTAGACTCCCCCAGCGCCGGGCATGTTCCTGCTTGCGGGTGGGAGAAAAGAGAGCATCTCCCCCGACGCGCAGCAAGGTCCCTCCTGCGGAAGGTGCGCGCGCCCCTCTTTCCTCCTAGGCCAGCGATTCGGAGTCACTCCGCATCAGTGGCGGGGCAGGGGAACTTGGGCGAAGGGGCCTTTGCGCGAGTTTCCTGCGGCTCGGCGCAGAACTCGGATTTCGCAAGTCCTTGCACCTTTAGCCCTCGCGGGGCAGCGTTCACACGTGACGCGCGCCAGGCGAGCGTTGCCACTTTCCTACCGCCGGAAAGCCCAGCGAGCCTGCCTCGCTACGCTTGGGGGAGGGGGCAGCATGTCTGAAAAGCAGAGCAGCTGCCGGCCAAAAGAAGCCGCCTTGTGTCTAGGAGTCTCGCATTTCCCAGGGACGTGGCTGCAGGCTGCAGAGACGCGCAGACAGGGTCAGCCAAGCAGGGACTGTCGCAGGTTTCGCTTCGCGGAGGTGCAAAGTTCGCAAGCGGCCTCCGTGGGAGGAAGCTCCTGCAGCCAAGAGCATGCAAGCACTGCGGCCCCGAGTTAGCTTTTGCAATCGGAGCCAAATCCATGCACATTCCATTCTGGCAGGTGTGCTCAAACCGCTACATGCTCTGTGCAGCACACGCATCTTGTGGCAGGGAGGGGAGCTCTTTGGCTGTGCATGCCTCCTTTACATGTGCTCTGTGCCTGCCTCATATGGCAGGCGCCTCCCCCAGCTGGTGCAAGAGCTCAGAGAGAGGTGCTTTTTCAGCACAGACCTGAGAGGACACGCTACCAGCCACACCAGGATGCCTGGACCACGATATCTTGCTTGGCTAACTAGCCGTTATAAATGTCCATAGTGATCACTCAAAGTGTTATATGCGGACCAGCATCCCCTTGTAAAGGCCAAGTCCTTGCTAGTTAAACAGATCAACCGTGCCCTGTTAAAGCTTATGCACACAAACTGCAGCAAGCACTAATTATCGTTGACTATTCCAGACAGTTTATCCTCCTCCCCCCCCCCACGCCACCTGATTATGAGCAGCAAATGAGCTTGGGTTGCTCATTTCCTTAGAAAATCCAGCCTTGCACATTATAATTTGCAGGAAAGATCTTGAGAAATGGGACCTTCATGGTCCCATCATTCTGTAGGGGCTTTGGTGCAGTCCCTCCCCCCCCAGCTGTCAATTAGTGTCCAGAACTTACTGGTTGCATTTTCAGTCTTTATTTTTGCCTCCGTTCTACCAGCAATCTTGCCTGCTTTTAATTTTAATAGACTTATTTTTTGAAAGGAAAACTGAAGTTGGCAGAAAAGGTTTTCTCTGAGCTAGGAGGGGAGATAACATTTGACAACACTGTTGTGAGGGGGAATTTCAGAACGGATCTACCTCGGCTCCGGTGCATTTGATTCTGGGGGTGCAAAGATGTCAGATGCCTCTGATGACTGGGAAAGGATAAGTGTATTTGCATCCACCCTGAAACAAGTAAAAATGCCTCTATCTCTGAATTACTCCCCAGCGCGTTCAGTTGTGGGTCAGGAAGATTGATTTCCTCTCATCTCTCCATAAAGAATAGTGATAGTCTAATATTTTCATCCTGTCTGAAAAAATAAGAGGGAGCCTAGCGGATTTCACTTGGGAGAGAATAAATACCACAACCCAGAAGACTGCATTTTTCTCCCCCATTTGCCTTAATTTCATGAGTTCATATGGGAGTTTCTGGGGGACGACAACACCACATTTTATTTCAAAAAACCCCATATGAACCAACCGGGCCTCTGTGAGGCCATTTAAGGCTTTAAAGGTCAGCACCTGCACTCTAAATCAATGAAACAGATAGACAACCAGCTCCAGTTACGCCCCGGCTGCTTCAGGCGTAGTGCAGTCCCGTTCAGAATAGGTTAAAAATCTTCGCACAAATTTCCAATAGTGCCTCCATCTTATATGGTTCAAGTTCCGTTTGCTTATCTCGCTCATTCCTGAATTAATTGAGTGTTGCCTCTGTTGCCTCCACACAATTTGTTGTTGTTGTTTAGTTGTTTAGCCATGTCTGACTCTTCATGACCCCATGGACCAGAGCATGCCAGGCACTCCTGTCTTCCACTGCCTCCCGCAGTTTGGTCAAACTCATGCTGGTAGCTTCGAGAACACTGTCCAACCATCTCGTCCTCTGTCGTCCGCTTCTCCTTGTGCCCTCCATCTTTCCCAACATCAGGGTCTTTTCCAGGGAGTCTTCTCTCTCATGAGGTGGCCAAAGTATTGGAGCCTCAGCTTCAGGATCTGTCCTTCCAGTGAGCACTCAGGGCTGATTTCCTTCAGAATGGATAGGTTTGATCTTCTTGCAGTCCATGGGACTCTCAAGAGTCTCCTTCAGCACCAGAATTCAAAAGCATCAATTCTTCGACGATCAGCCTTCTTTATGGTCCAGCTCTCACTTCCATACATCACTACTGGGAAAACCATAGCTTTTACTATACGGACCTCACCTTGCCAGCAAACGTCCGTATAGTAAAAGCTATGGTTTTCCACACAATAGAAGATTTAAAAAAAAAACAACCTGAGAGGTGCCACAAACGTATGGTTCTTCAGCCCAAACATTCGGATAACTTCTCCCACTGTTTCCATGTAGATGTTGAAAAGCAAGGGAGATGAGATGGAACCTTGTGGCAAGCTGGAAGCCAATGGCCATTGGGTGGAAGATCAGGTCTCCCAGCACACCTTCTGGGATCAGCCTCGCAGGTACAAGTGGAACCACTGCCAAACAGTGTCTCCTCATCTCACCCTTGCAAGGCATCCTAGAAGGATATCATACAGATAGTCAGTAGTCACGAAAGGCACTGAACGCTCCAGGAAAATCCGACAGAGTCACATTTTTCTCCCCACCCCATTCTCCCAAGTGATTGTCTAAAAAAGTACCCTGAATAATTGAGCAACAATTAATTTCAAGTATTTTATTTAATGCAAGTATCTGCAAAAGTTCCCTTTTGAGGAATTTCCCCCTTTCCTGCAGAGGAGAAGACGCTTCTTCCAAAATAATGGCTGCCACAATGACAGCACATAGGAAGCCTGTTTTTGTTTCGGAACAATTCGCTTTTATTCAAGTGTCAAATTAGTCGAGTATTTAATCAGCTGAGATTTTGTTTGACTGAATGACGGATGTACTCGATTTCTTTCCAACCTCAGTTTAATATACTGTTTTAGTGTGGTAATCCTGTTACAGTGGTACCTCGGGTTACATACGCTTCAGGTTACATACAATTCAGGTTACAGACTGCACTAACCCAGAAATAGTGCTTCAGGTTAAGAACTTTGCTTCAGGATAAGAACAGAAATCGGGCTCCGGTGGCGCGGCGCCAGCAGGAGGCCCCATTAGCTAAAGTGGTGCTTCAGGTTAAGAACAGTTTCAGGTTAAAAACAGACCTCCGGAACGAATTAAGTACTTAACCTGAGGTACCACTGTACATGGAAGTAAGCCACTCTGAGTTAAACACCATTTGGACTTACTTCCAAGTAAATGTAAACAGGATTGTCCCCGAATGAACATGAAATGCATTGCGCACTTAGCGATAAAATCATAATGTGTGAGGTTTTTTTGTTTTTAAAAGTATAAACGCTGTGTTTTATTCAAGCAATGATTACAAATATGCCCAGTATTAGAGATGAAGCTGCAAGTACCCAAATAGGTAAAGGGACCCCTGACCATTAGGTCCAGTCGTGACCGACTCTGGGGTTGCAGCGCTCATCTCGCTTTATTGGCCGAGGGAGCCGGCATACAGCTTCCGGGTCATGTGGCCAGCATGACTAAGCCACTTCTAGCAAACCAGAGCAGCACACGGAAACGCCGTTTACCTTCCCGCCGGAGCAGTACCTATTTATCTACTTGCACTTTGACGTGCTTTCGAACTGCTAGGTTGGCAGGAGCTGGGACGGAGCAACGGGAGCTCACCCCGTCGTGGGGATTCGAACTGCCGACCTTCTGATCGGCAAGCCCAAGAGGCTCAGTGGTTTAGACCACAGCGCCACCCTCGTCCACCCAAATAGATAATTGGGGCTAAACTGTACACAGAACTAATTGTAGGCCGGAATCAAAAGAGTTAAATTTATACGATAATGCTGAGGTTGCTCCTAAGGGCCTAACTATACTTGACACTAATTTCATTGCTTGCAGTCAGTTTTTCTTTATTTAATTACAAGAATAGCCCTCCCACCCCTTTCCCCATTTGATAGGCTTAGGGAAAGGTTCCCATTGGCCCCTAAGACTTGCTGCATGCAAGCAGGAGTGCTCTTCAAGATCCTGGCAAGGGAGAGGAGGATTCAGGTTTCCTTCCCTATACACTACCAAGAGTAATCACGGGGGAGGAAGTAATAAATAACAGTGATATGTCATCATAATCAAGCAACATATAATTAGCATCTCTTGGAAGTTAAGACCTAAAGCCCCATTGCTTTATATATCTTGGCTAGCTTTAGATGCAAAGGGATGTGTATGTGAGAGAGAGGGGGGTGGACAAATGTATGGAAAAGTGAGCTATTAATGGATACTAGGCGCAGGGGCTGCTTGCTCCCTCCCAAGTTCAGAGGCAGTGTGCCTTTGAATGTCAGTTGCCAGGGAACAAAGCAGAAAGTGCATTGCATTCACATCTTCCTTGTGGGCTTCATATGGAGAACTGTAGTTACAAACAAACTGTAGTTTGAACTTGGTAGGCTTAATCCAACAAGGCTCATCTTTATATTCTTACGTAAGTTCAGCGTTTTAACAAGCAGATCTCTTCTCGTGTCTACTTTAGCCCTTGTCTTTTCTAGCTGGGAAAGCAGGTAAAGGTAAAGGTCCAGTCGTGGCCGACTCTGGGGTTGCGGCGCTCATCTCGCTTTATTGGCTGATGAAGCCGGCGAACAGCTTCCAGGTCATACGGCCAGCATGACTAAGCCGCTTTTGGTGAACCAGAGCAGCGCACGGAAACGCCGTTTACCTTCCCACCGGAGCAGTACCTATTTATCTACTTGCACTGGTGTGCTTTTGAACTGCTAGGTTGGCAGGAGCAGGGACCGAGCAATGGGAGCTCACCCCGTCATGGGGATTTGAACCGCCAACCTTCTGATCAGCAAGTCCTAGGCTCTGTGGTTTAACCCACAGCGCCACCCATGTTGGGAAAGCAGGTATAAAATGAAAATAGAAAATAGGAACTATCAACACGGTGGTTAGCAAGCCATGGGCTGTGAAACGGTATGAAGTTTGAGCCCTGGTCCGATACCATGCAGAGGCAGAGGAAAATTGTATTTTTAATTGCAGGAGTTGTCCAGGTTGTGCCAGAAAGCTAGACCAGGTTCATCAAGTCCACGGACCACTTTCCCTCCCTGCTGAGGCACGTGGGAACAAAATCTGCTTCTAGACGTGGTTTTGAATTTATTGCCAGCTACTGTGAGGTGTTTTAATTACTCCTTCCTCTTGGGTATCAATGCTCAGGGAAAGAGAGAAGAATCTTTGAAGTGACTGGTGGTGCCATTGCAGAAGGTTTGACTCTTGGGTTCTTGGTCTGTTCTTCCATGATGAATGCCTTCTGGCCGGAGACCAGTTGCCCTGATCCTGAGGGAGGCGTATGTTTGGCAGAAGTCTTGCAAACCTGATCAGGAAGGCTTTAAACATTATCGTGAAGTGAAGGGCGATGCAATAGGCAATGTAATACTAGAAGATAGCACAGCAACAGGTATAATAATAATAATAATTTATTATTTGTACCCTGCCCATCTGGCTGGGTTTCCCCAGCCACTCTGGGCGGCTTCCACAAAAAGAAAAAATACACTAAGATGTCACACATTAAAAACTTCCCTGAACAGGGCTGCCTTAAGATGTCTTCTGAATGTCAGGTAGTTGTTTATCTCTTTGACATCTGATGGGAGGGCGTTCCACAGGGCGGGCGCCACTACCGAGAAGGCCCTCTGCCTGGTTCCCTGTAGCTTTGCTTCTCGCAGTGAGGGAACCGCCAGAAGGCCCTCGGAGCTGGACCTCAGCGTCCGGGCAGAACGATGGGGGTGGAGGCGCTCCTTCAGGGATATTGGGCCGAGACCGTTTAGGGCTTTAAAGGTCAACACCAACACTTTGAATTGTGCTCGGAAACGTACTGGTGAGTGACTGAAAACGGGCAAAGTGAGTTAGTGCATCTGGCTCTTAACCAGAAGGTGCGTTGCACAAAGTAAGGCTAGATGGCCTTGAGGTTTCCTTCAGCTCTACAGTTCTATGATTCCAGTATGTAGGGGAAAACAACAAGGCGGAAGCTGGCGTGTAGAAGCCATGGTTTGCAGTGTCTGTGCGAAAGCACAGAATATGGGAGAGAAGCATATGTATACCCAGTATACCTGAAGGAGCGTCTCCACCCCCATCATTCAGCCCGGACAGTGAGGTCCAGCGCCGAGGGCCTTCTGGCGGTTCCCTCATTGTGAGAAGTGAGGTTACAAGGAACCAGACAGAGGGCCTTCTCGGTAGTGGCGCCTGCCCTGTGGAACGCCCTCCCATCAGATGTCAAGGAAATAAACAACTACAGTGGTACCTCAGGTTACATATGCTTCAGGTTACAAACTCCGCTAACCCAGAAATAGTACCTCTGGTTAAGAACTTTGCTTCAGGATGAGAACAGAAATCGTGCTCCGATGGTGCGGCAGCCCATTAGCTAAAGTGGTGCTTCAGGTTAAGAACAGTTTCAGGTTAAGAACGTACCTCTGGAACGAATTAAGTACTTAACCCGAGGTACCACAGTACCTGACTTTTAGAAGACATCTGAAGGCAGCCCTGTTTAGGGAAGTTTTTAATGTTTGATGTTTTATCGAGTTTAATATTCTTTTGGGAGCTACTCAGAGTGACTGGGGAGACCCGGCCAGATGGCCAGGTATAAATAATAAATTATTATTATTATTATTATTATTATTTTATATATGGGGTACTGATAGGATGAGATGGTGTCTTAAGATTCGCATATATTCTGGGAGAATGTAATAGGTAGAGCATTCACAGGGAATATGAGGTCACTTGGGCAAGAACTAGGATCAGAAAGAGGTTTTAAAGAGGTTTTTGACCAGGTAGGCAGATTGAGACAAAGGTCTCTCTTCATACAGATTGTTGTTGTTGCCAATTGTTATTACAACTACTACTGCTGTTATAAAAACCATTGCATATAGAAAACTCGAATGGCAGCGAGAAGTTTAGATTAGTACCCTTCTCCCTAACACCTACTCTTCCGTGTGTGATGCTTTTGTGTGGTTTTATAATTTGTAGGAAGCCACCCAGTTAGATGGGTGGCATAATAATAATAATAATAAGAAGAAGAAGAAGAAGAAGAAGAAGAAGAAGGAGCTTCTTTTATTTGGTGGAGACTTGTGGGCCCCCTAATGCACTCTTAAATGGTACTTAGTAGAGACAGATAGTGGGACGTGGGTGGCGCTGTGGGTTAAACCACAGAGCCTAGGACTTGCCAATCAGAAGGTTGGCGGTTCGAATCCCCGCGAGAGGGTGAGCTCCCATTGCTCCGTCCCTGCTCCTGCCAACCTAGCAGTTCAAAAGCACGTCCAAGTGCAAGTAGATAAATAGGTACCACTCCAGCGGGAAGGTAAACGGTGTTTCCGTGTGCTGCTATGGTTTGCCAGAAGAGGCTTAGTCATGCTGGCCACATGACCCGGAAGCTGTACGGTGGCTCCCTTGGCCAGTAAAGCGAGATGAGCGCCGCAACCCCACAGTCGGCCACGACTGGACCTAATGATCAGGGGTCCCTTTACCTTTGCCTTATAATTTGTTGGAAGCTGCCCAGTTAGATGGGTGGCATAAGAAGAAGAAGAAGAAGGTTCTTTTATTTGGTGGAGACTTGTGGGCCCCCTAATGGTACTCAGTAGAGACAGTGAGTAGAGGAAGCCAAAATGATGCCAATTCACCTCAAAGACTTTCTGCAGGTGGTGGGTAGAAGAGGAGGTGGCAGAGGCAGGCAGCCATGCACACCAACCCACCAAGTATCATTGTGATGTATCTTCAGGAACGGCGTGTCCTGTTGCGATAGATTTGTTTTATTTGGGGATGTGAAAAAAGCTTTCTGAAGGCCGGTGTCCCCAAAGCTTGCCGGTCTTGGCTGCGTAAAACAGTCAGAAGAGGGTGAATATTGCATATGCTTGTTTCAGTGAAGTAGTGGTTAATGCCATTACTTCCTTGATCCCATGATACCAGAAACCTACAAGCCTATATTCTATGTCTAGGTGAGCCATGAGTTGTAGCTACCCAGCTCCAGGCATTCCTGGATGAATCTGGTTATCTAGATGCCAATCCATCAATACAATCAGAACCTGTTTTGGAGAAGGTTATAATAATAATAATAATAATAATAATAATAATAATAATAATAAATTATTTATTATTTATACCCCGCCCATCTGGCTGAGTTTCCCCAGCCACCCTGGGCGGCTTCCAATCAAGTGTTAAAAACAATATATTATTAAATATTAAAAAGTTCCCTAAACAGGGCTGCCTCCAGATGTCTTTTAAAAAGAAGATAGCTGCTTATTTCATTCACATCTGAAGGGAGGGCCCTCTGTCTGGTTCCCTGTAACCTCACTTCTCGCAATGAGGGAACCGCCAGAAGGCCCTCAGGGCTGGATCTCAGTTTCCGGGCTGAACGATGGGGGTGGAGATGCTCCTTCAGGTATACAGGACTGAGGCCATTTAGGGCTTTAAAGGTCAGCACCAACACTTTGAATTGTGCTCGAAACGTACTGGGAGCCAATGCAGATCTCTCAGGACCGGTGTTATGTGGTCCCGGTGGCCACTCCCAGTCACCAGTCTAGCTGCCGCATTCTGGATTAATTGCAGTTTCCGGGTCACCTTCAAAGGTAGCCCCACATAGAGTGCATTGCAGTAGTCCAAGCGGGAGATAACTAGAGCATGCACCACTCTGGCAAGACAGTCTGTGGGCAGGTAGGGTCTTAGCCTGCATACCAGGTGGAGCTGGTAGACAGCTGCCCTGGATACAGAATTGACCTGTGCCTCCATGGACAGCTGTGAGTCCAAAATGACTCCCAGGCTGCGCACCTGGTCCTTCAGGGGCACAGTTACCCCATTCAGGACCAGGGAATCCCCCACACCAGCCCGCCCCCTGTCTCCCAAAAACAGTACTTCTGTCTTGTCAGGATTCAACCTCAATCTGTTTCAAAGGTTGCACTACCTATGAAAAAAACAGGTTCCCAATGTTCTGTATCTGACTTTATTCCTGGATTCTCAGGTGGCAGCTGTGACCAGGAGTGTCTCTGTACAGTTTGACCAACTGTGCCCGTTTCTAGGGATGGCAGACTTGGCCGCAGTCAGACGGCCTGGACCTCTGTAACTTGGTCTCCTTTGTCAGAAACTGCTGCTAGGACAAAATGCTACCGCTGGACAATTGATTGGTGTTGGTTTTTTGGTGTGTGTGGCAGGTATTGCTGTTATCGTACCGCTTGCCTACGACTTTTGTGGTGGCAAGTATTGATGTGATCCCACGGCTGCCACCACTTTTGTGGCGATCACACAGGGTCCCCGGACGTTTGACGGTCTATTGATCCCTGTGCCACCACTGTGATTGCTTTCCCGCTGCCACCAACCCGTTTCTCTCGGCTACACACAGAGTCCAGACAGTTGTTAACATTAACAAATAATCAAGTTTATTTTTATAAGCATGAACAAGTTTAAGGTTTCAGTTAATTTTTCTTGGCAGTTTTTCAATCTTAGTTTCTTTACTGACCTATACATTCCTAACAACTTCAAACTGGTTATCCCAACTATCTGTCTGACTCCACCTAACAGTTCCTCTCACTCTCTCACAACACAACTCGATCAACCCACAGACTTATCCTCCCTCTTCCTTCTCCAACTCCCAACTCTCAACTGACTTCCACACAACTCTAACTCTAACTCCTCCCCTTGGGTTCCCACTGGCCAATCACTTCACACTCATTTAACCCTTTCCTTATGACCCACCTAGGAGGCAAACGCCACAGTGTGCCTTTGACTTCTTTTTTGCATCAATTGCACTGGCTGTTGGTCTGTTTGCAAATGCAGTTCAAAATTGCCCCCCAAACTCCAAAGGAACCTTTAATGATGCTGCCCATTCACTGAGGTCATTTGCAGAAGATGCCCAGGTGGAAAGGAACAGGGCCTTCTCAGTGGTGGCACCCAGCCTTTGGAACCCCCTTCCCCAGTATATCATACCCCCGCCATGGACATTCTGTAATATACTCAATATTATTTTATGTTAATACCGTAGGTTTTTTTGCCTGCTGACACCCTTTCAGTTGTTGTTGTTCTGTGTGTGTTTGTTTTAAAACATGTTTGTTTATTTTCAAATATAGAAATACATGGGCACAAATGCAGATTAATACAGTAAAGCAGACATTAAGACAGAAGCCAAAAAAGAAAAAACCAAACATCTTTAATAGACAATTCCATGTGGCTGCATGATCCTGAAGCTAGGAGGGATACTTTCTCATATCTATCTATCTATATATATATATACATACACGCATATATGTGTGTGTGTATATATATATATATATATATATATATATATGTAAAGACTGAGGTTATTTTTGTAGGGGTGTTGCTGTTTGCTACTCCATCAGTTATTAATTATGACTCATGCTTTTATATTTTTACACTTTTTTTTTTAGCTGCTTTGGGCGGTTCAAATTCTAAATAAGAAAGGCTGCAATTTAAGTTCTTTTATTAACAAATAATTAGATTTTCAGAGGTGTTAGCTCTCCTTCCCAGTTTTACAGATGACATCAGATGGAGAGGGAAACATGTTGGAATAAATTAAATGATCAGGAAAGAATGGAAAGCTGAGCTGAAACGAACAAAATCAAATTAAACAGAGAAATAGAAACTTCTGTGTTGTGGCAAAGCAAAATAATTCAGTGCATGTGTATAGGATTGGGAGAGAGGACCCTAGCTAGCTTCACAATAGTAAATTTGAACAGGATCTCAGGTTTGCAGCTGATCACAAGTTGAACATGAGTCAGCAGTGTGATGCAGCTGTGGGGGGGAGGTTAATGCCATTTTAGGCTGTATTAATAGAACCAGGGTTTCCAAGACACACGAAGCCATAGTTCCACTTTATTCCGCACTAGTCAGACCTCATTTTAATTGCTGTGCCCAATTCTGGGTGCTACACTCTAGGAAATGACCTTTGGATATCTAGAGAGCCAGAGATGTGCCATAGGAGAATGCAGAGAAACAGAATGAATTACAGTGGTACCTCGGGTTACATACGCTTCAGGTTACAGACTCCACTAACCCAGAAATAGTGCTTCAGCTTAAGAACTTTGCTTCAGGAAGAGAACAGAAATCGTGCTCCGGCGGCTCAGCGGCAGCAGGGAGGCCCCATTAGCTAAAGTGGTGTTTCAGGTTAAGAACAGTTTCAGGTTAAGAACGGACCTCCGGAACGAATTAAGTACTTAACCGAGCTCGATGTGATCAGCCTATTAGACAAAATAAAAACCGACAAATCACCAGGTCCAGATAACATACAGACATCCCTCAGATCAGCCCAAGAACTGGAAAGTAGCCATTGTCACACCGGTTTTCCCAAAGGGATCCAGGGGTGTGTGGAATCCTGGACATTACAGACCGATTAACCTAGCATCCGTCCTGGGATAACTGGTGGAAAGTATTGTTAAAGATAAAATAGCCACACACTTTGCTGAACCAGAGTCAATGTGGTTTCTGCAGAGTGTGTTCTCCTTCATGGTGGGGGCAAACCAGACATCCCTCTGTTGCTGGGCGGGTTAGTTTGGATGGCCACGAATCTTATTGGGCACCTCTTGGTCGTTAGGGAGAATTTGATGTTGCAATTTATGATTGACAGGCCAAGGGGCTATTTATTCCCTGCGCGCAGCGTTGAGCTGCCTCTTTTCGCTGCGCGCATCGGATCACCCACCCACCCTCCCTATATTTAGGCCTGTTTGCATTGACCTTGCTATGCCTGTCATGGGGTCGTCTGCTTTGGGGCAGGGGCCTGGTAGAATTTTTTCCAGTTGGCTGATTAGGTTTTTGCCTACTGCGTAGCAAATTGTCACAACTTGTAAGGTTGCGGTTAGGCATTGGTTAAATTTGGTTGGCGGAGGCAGTATGGTTGGCTTTGCCTGCCCCTCCAATGCTGCTGCTGCTGCAAGCGTATTCCGTTAAAGCAGTGTTTCTCAACCTGTGGGTCCCCAGATGTTGTTGGACTACAACTCCCATCATTCCTAGCCAGCATGACCAGTGGTCAGGGATGATGGGAGTTGTAGTCCAACAACATCTGGGGACCAACCGCTGCGTTAAAGGAATCCAGGGTCTCGCCATGCTCTTGTCCGAACCCCTGTCAAGGGGCTAGGGCCATGCAAGAGCCCCTGGGAGCATTATCTCCCCAAAAATGTTTACTCTTACTGACTTCCGCAGGCTTGCGGTTGTCAGTTCTGTTCCTACCTCTGTGTGGGAACAGATAGTCGCAAACCAATGCCTAAGCAACCACTCACATTCTGTAATCAATAAAGTTGCGGCCCAAAATTATGCCAAAAACCCGAAACAAAAATTCTGTGTGAATTGCGTTTTATTTGAGGGTGGCTTGGGGACCTCAACACGCAAGGGCCAGTCCGGTTTCAAAAACCTATAAGAGTTCTTGGAGAGTGTCCACAAGCCGATAGCTAGAGGTGATCCAGTTGTCAGTGGAACTCAGATGGAAGGTGAGTTCCTTGGATGTTTTTGAAGCAGAGTTTGGATGGTCACCTGTCATGGATGCTTTAGCTCAGTGTTCCCCAACTCCCGGGCCATGGCCCGGTGCCGGTCCGTGGATCAATCGGCACCGGGCCGCCTGAGGAACTTCAAATCATTTCACTGTGGCGGGCGGCCGAGGCGCAGAGCTTTGCGCCCTCTCAAGCCCACCCATTGTGTGACAATAGCGAATGAAAATTCGCTATTGTTACACTGATGCTCCTCCTGGCCAATCAGGGAGCGGGTCCTCCCGCTTCCTGATTGGCCGAAAGGCAAACCTCACGCCATTGGCCGAGGAGGAGGCGCCACGGGAGGACTGAGGACTCGAGGTCGGAGACGCGGGGACTGAAGAGAAGCTGCCGTGAGGTAAGTGCACGGAGGGGGGGGGACTCGCCACGGAAAAATTATCAAACATTTACCGGTCCGCGGCGATAAAAAGGTTGGGGAGCACTGCTTTAGCTGACATTCCTGCATTGCAGGGGGTTGGATGAGATCACGCTTGTGATCTCTTGCAACTCTACAATTCAATGATTTTAGAACACTATGGACTTAAGGCTTTCAAAAAGCTTTGAACAAGGTACAGTGGTACCTGGGGTTATAGACGCTTCAGGTTACAGACTCCGCTGACCCAGAAATAGTACCTCGGGTTAAGAACTTTGCTTCAGGATGAGAAGAGAAATCGTGTGGCGGCGGCAGCGGGAGGCCCCATTCGCTAAAGTGGTGCTTCAGGTTAAGAACGGAGCTCCAGAACGAATTAAGTTCTTAACCTGAGGTACCACTGTACCTTAGCAGTCAAGGAATAAGAGGAAAGTTCTTTTTGTGGATCAGGAATTGGTTACGTTGCAGGAAGCGAAGACTAATGGACAGTTAGTTCTCTGAATGGAAAGTTGTCAAAGTGGAATCTCCCAAGGATTGGTTTATGTCAGGGGTCAGCAAATGTTTTCAGCAGGGGGCCGGTCCACTGTGCCTCAGAACCTGTGGTGTGCCAGCTATATTTTGAAGAAGAAGAAGAAAAAAGAACGAATTCCTATACCCTACAAGTAATCCAGAGATGCATTTTAAATAAAAGCACACATTCTACTCATGTATAAACACGCTGATTCCCGGACCGTCCACGGGCCGGATTGAGAAGGTGGTTGGGCCAGATCCGGCCCCTGGGCCTTAGTTTGCCTACCCTTGGTATATATGTCAGGTGGTGGTGTGGTTGCTCGAGAGCAAACAGGCAAGACTCCAACCTGTCTTTTCCAGTCTTTATTATCTGTACAAACTATTTACAATGCAGAGCATCGCAAGTCCATGTCTGCTCAGTCGCTAGCAGAATCTGGGAGTGGGCGGTCCTTATACCTTCCCCAGCATAACAGTCGTGTGACCCCCATCCTTCTCCTCCTCTCTCTGCGCGCAAACCTACTGCGCAGCGTGGGTGCTGGCAAAGGGGGAGTTGCCTCCCCTCCCCTTTGCTCAGGCCCCGTGTTGAAGCTCTCCCTAGCATCTTCTGGTCCCTGCGCCCCTTCCCCGCTGGAGGTGGGGCTTCCCTCCTCGCCAGAGGAAGAGCTGCTTCGCAAGATCTTCGGAGGCTCCCTGTAACACCACTGCCCTTCCGCCTCTCGCCTTTGAGCTGATGGCAGTTCCCTGACAATATGCTTTTTAACTTGCTCATGAATTATCTAGAGTTAGGAGTGAGCAGTGAGGTGGCCACGTTTGCTGATGCTGTGAAATATTTTGGGGGTGTTAAAACCAAAAGAGTTTGTGAAGATCTCTAAAGGGACCTCTTCATACGGAGGGAACGGGCGGCAAAACGACGAATGCAACTCAGTGTAAACAAGTGTAAAAGCAGGCCTGGTGGTGCCTAATACCTTTATTTCACATGTGCAGTCATGTAACCTCTCAACTGACAGTGACTGGCCAGGAACGAGACCTTTGGGTTGTAGTGGATAGCTCCATGAATATGTCAACCCAGCTGTGAAAATGGTAGTTTAGCAGCGATGGGCAACCCTTTTTCCATTGAAAACCTCAGGGTTGAGGGGGGTCACATTCTGGCACAAACAGAGCCATTGATGGGTGGATCTGGAGATTAAAGTCCTTCCAGTAGCACCTTTGTTGTCGTTTAGTCGTGTCCAACTCTTTGTGACCCCATGGACCAGAGCACGCCAGGCACTCCTGTCTTCCACTGCCTCCCGCAGTTTGGTCAAACTCATGCTAGTAGCTTTGAGAACACTATCCAACCATCTCATCCTCTGTCGTCCCCTTCTCCTTGTGCCCTCCATCTTTCTCAACATCAGGGTCTTTCCCAGGGAGTCTTCTCTTCTTATGAGGTGGCCAAAGTATTGGAGTCTCAGCTTCAGGATCTGTCCTTCCAGTGAGCACTCAGGGCTGATTTCCTTCAGAATGGAAAGGATTGATCTTCTCGCAGTCAGTAGCATCTTGGGGACCAACTAAGTTTGTTGTTGGTATGAGCTTTTGTGTGCAAGCACACTTCTTCAGATACCTCCGAAAGCTCATACCAGTAACAAACTTAGTTGCTACTGGAATAATTTTTTTTTATTTTGTTTCGACTACGGCAGACCAACACGGCTACCTACCTGTAACTGGAGATTAAAGTGTTCAGGACTGACTAATCTGTCATAAAGTCCACCCCACTTCAGTTTCCCCCATAGCTCCCAGTTTGATCTCAGACCCTTAGAGGGAAAGTCTTTGCCACAAGCTATACAACCACATTAAAAAAATAATCCATGAATTTATTTTTATTCAGTTGTTTTGAAACTACATAGAAACGAGGGGTGGGGGGCTAGGTTAATCTAAAACAGAAGTGGAGGCTCCCAGATTCCTCCTCACAGCCATTCTGGGGGTGGGGGGTGGGAGGAATGTTCAGTTAAAGGGAGAAAGTCTTGTTTTTATAACCATTGAACAGGCCTCTGTTTTGAGATGATGCATTTTAAAAAGTAATTGAAGCTAGAAGACTCTCTTAAGTGAACAAAGCAGCACATTTTTTTAAATGTTTAAAAGGCCTGTTCTATAAGCAAAGTGAAATACATTGTGCAAAGAATGTTTGCTGTATGATATCTGTGACTTTTGGGTTTGTGTTCCAAAATCAACACTGAATTCTCTTTTCTGACAGGTATCGTTTATTTCTCTTCCTTATCTCCATAGTAATGTGCTTTGTTGTGACCAAGTCCTTGCTGCTGACCTGCTGTTTGCCCTTCTTTCTAATGGGTATGAGGTACTACTTCAGTAGAAAAGTTATCCTCAGCTATCTGGAGTGCGCACTGAATACGGACATGTCTGATATTGAGCAATATTACATGAAATCGCCAGGTGAGTAATATGTCCATGGAAGGATCAGTAACTGAACATCTTTCATTGTCTCGTCATGACGGAGGGTTCTTTTAATTGCTAAGAATACGGCAATTTCTTCTAAAGAAGAAAAGTGTTTATATTTAAACAGGATTCCAAAAATCAGTGGAAACGTCTCATCTGTTTTTTATTTGTACTTGGGTTCAAATGGAAGTTTAAAACCTCCTTGGTTTGTATTGTTGGAAAATATACATAGTTCTGTTTTATGGAACTTGAGTTTCTCTCTCCTTTCAAGTGATTTGTATGTCTTTCATAACAGTAGCGCACAAAGTCTTAAAGAAACTCTCAGGACACAGATCTATGGAAGAGCCACTCTGCGTTAGGCCTGGAAATTCCAGTAGTTAGTTCTTTTGCACATTATCTGTGTTCAGGTCAGCTCCTGCACATCTAAAAGGCATGCGAGCCAGACACAGGGAATATTTATCCATCTGTGGTGCTATTCTTTGGAAATTCCTCAACTGTAATTGGGACAGATTTGTGCAACGAGTGTTCAGCTCTCATTCATTGTGGGGATAAAGGACTCCTTTGAGAAACTTGCTAGAGTAAGAACAGCTGAGCGCTTGGTTTTAAAAACATTGCTCCTCTTTTGAGAGTGCCAAATTATTTTTAAAACTCTCTGCTATCTATTCCTATATCTACCGATATATACCCGCTTGTATTCAGTAAGCATACTGAGCCTCTCAGGTAATTCTTGTAACACATTTATGTGCAGATCTATATATTGGAACGGGGTTGCTATCAGCTCAAAGTCTAGTAATTTTGCTCAACCATGTTATGGGTCAGGAATAAAAAAACCCTAAAACTTGAATCTGTTTAATTAGTGACCAGCTATCAAAGCATGTTCAGTTTTTCACTCTGGAAACAGCACAGACACTATCATGCGCGGAATCTGGGGGCATATGAGTTTCTTTCGCCACTAGTGAATGTTTTCAGCATTTAACTGTCATGAACACTGATGACTGTGAATTGCTCCCACCGAAGAGGAAAGAGATTTTGCTCTAGGGAAGGACTGCAGTACGAATGGTCTGGCAGATGATTTATTCCCCTAGACTGCAAGGAAGGAGTGTGAATTTCTGTGGCGGGCTTTGGGTTTGATAACCATGGTTGGTAGGAAGTTAGTGTTACATCACCAGCAATGCAGCTTTTGCTTGGTCTACAGGAGTGGGATGTGGGAGAATAGTATTGTTAAGCTGTATTGTATTTAAGATATTTGAAAAAAAAATAATAAACATTACTGGGGGGGGAGAGGTGTGGGATGTCAGTGTAAATTCTAAACTGGAGGCAGTTTTGTCACTTGTATGTATTGTAGGTGTGTGTGTGTGTGTGTGTGTATAAACACACACACACATATACATACATATATATGTAGGTATGTATTTTTTTTTTAAATAAATGCTTGCTGTTCCTGGAAGTGTGACTTTAACATTGCTTAGGATATAAGCTCGCTTTATTTTGGTAGAAAGGAAAGCTTGGGTTTTGTTGGCTGCTGTTTTCACTTTTGGAGGATATTTTTAATTTGCTATACTTAATGTGTGAAGATTCTTATAACATTGATTAGACTAATTCCCTGGAAAACAAATTTTATACTTCTGCTTTATCAGTACTGTATTCCGCCCCGCCCACCCCCAACTTGAACTTGAATAAGGCAAAATATCATCTAGCACAATGGACCAAATATACAGTACTAATGATCAGAACCCAATAACAATAACCTAAAAACTGCCTCTGCCCAGAATATTTGTTCTACATTACAGTTGCGGGTTGTTATGGCTCCACAAGGAGCTAATTACTTAGGGTCATGATTTATTCCAAAATATAGGAATGCATTTGCATGAAGTTGCTGTAATGTTCTTCCTCAACTATTTTGGAAGGAATGTGTAAGATTTCGGGACGGCATTTTAATGGCATTCCATGCGAAATCCTGTTTGCCAAAGTGCTAGGGAAGAGTTAGAAACTATACTGCATTTGTTACTGTTGTGTAATTTTTGTAGAGAAAAAACGAAGCGGATTTCTTTGCCCCTTGATTGCTTCCATCCCAGGATGGTCTTTAGAGTAGCATACAGCCTTCCGGGTCATGAAATTAACTGCTTAACTGAATGAGTTTTCAAAGTTTGTGTCTCAGGGTTGCATGATTCATAAAGCAACTTTTAGAGAATCCTTAAGAGTTTTTGATTTTAATTTTTACCTGCATTTTTTGACGAAGAAAAACGTGCTGCTTGCTCTTATACTTCCTTGCATTTTTTGGGTTCCTTTACCCCTTATTGTATGGAGTCCCGTCGGAGACAAGGCGGTGCATAAAAAATAAATAATAAAAACAATTTCTATTTTTTTACTTGAAGGTATGTGGAGTATCAGTAAACTTGATCTGACAATTACTCATTAGCAAAATAAAGATACCCATATTAAGCCATAACATATTGCATCTGGTCGTTACACCTTTAATCTGAGTCAGAAGACCTGGCTTTGACGGCTGGCTCCACCAAACGTGATCCAAAGCAAATCTTCATGATCTGCCACATACTTCCAACATTACAAACCACTTACGCATACAAAGCATTCTGTTCATCCTTGGGGGCTGGACACAAGGACATGGCGCCCCAGCAGCCTCGCCTGACTCCCTGCAACTTCTTTCCTTTTAACTTTTTACTATAGAGCAGATGCGTTGTTGTGATAGCTTCAGGCAGCCCCACCCCCTCCAGATGATTCTGGGGGAAGGAAAGCTGGCAAGGGTGACGGTTGTGCCTCGTGCCAACTGTACCTCTGCAGTGAAAAGCTGAAAGAAAGCAGAATGTCACCCTCTGCCTTGAAGCGGCAAGGCCTCCACTCTTCCCGAAGTGGAAACAGAGGAGGATTGGGGAATGTTTTTCAGCTCGGGGTCTGATTTCCGCAGGGCAAGGCAGGCCAGGCAATGTGTTGCAGCACCATGGAGAGCTCCTACGTGAGGCACTTGCCCCAGCAGAGGCTAGAGGTGGACTGAGGCCTTTGGAGCCTCTGCCTCCAGTCCACCTATCCGTGGCTCTGTCTGCTGGGATGCGGGTGGCGCGGCCCTCTTGGGCTTGCCGATCAGAAGGTCGGTGGTTCGAATCCCCGCGACGGGGTGAGCTCCCATTGCTCTGTCCCAGCTTCTGCCAACCTAGCACTTCGAAAGCACACCAGTGCAAGTAGATAAATAGGCAGGAAGGTAAACGGCGTTTCTGAGCGCTCTGGTTTCCGTCACGGTGTTCTGTTGCGCCAGAAGCGGGAAGAAGCCGCATGACCCAGAAAGCTGTCTGTGGACAAATGCCGGCTCCCTCGGCCTGAAAGCGAGATGAGCGCCGCAACCCCATAGTTGCCTTTTTGACTGGACTTAACAGTCCAGGGGCTCTGTCTACACAGCCTTGAAGGCCAGCCCTCTGGCCTGCAGACAGGCTACTCTTCTGCAATCCCTGGCCTCCCACAATGGCGCTGTTGAACCGGCAAGGTATGTTAGGAGGCACTTGGCTCCTCAGGCTCGGGGAACGGTGGCCATGAAAGTTTCCAGCCCTGGCTCTGTGGACCTGAGTTGTGGTCCAGGGGACTCCTACTCACCAACCTCAGATCTAGTGGCCTCTTGTCATCAGGCTCAGCGTCAGGTACCTTCTGCAACCTCTGATTCTGCGTCTTGATCATGGCTGGACCCCGGGGTCATGATTATTGCTTTCCTTTCTGGCAGCCTTCCAGTGGTGGGCAGGACTTAGAGCAGTGAGTGTAACATATCTTCTTCTTTTTGCTCGCACCACAGCGAATTTTTTATTGATGAGAAATACACTGGAAAACAAAAAGAAACAACTAACGGTGCTTGATTTACAACACAGAACGCAACTACTTTATAGCATGACTATGGAACATCCACAAAGTACAAAACAATTCAGCTGCCTAAGAACACAAACCATTTCCAATATATAATTATAAACAACTCTGTTACATATGTACTTTAAGTATGTGTACAAACTTAATGAGAGGTGAGAGTTTGATTTTGGTGGCTAATCTCATTTATATTAGGTCTAATTTGGTGTTTGTTTGTTTTTTATATAAATTTATTTGGTTTTCAGATTAAAGTTTCACAACCACATATCCAACAAACAACATAAAGACAAGACTCTAAAAATCTCCTCCCCTTTGTGGGTCTTATTGTTAATCATTTCCTCCTGCGCTTTTTATGATAATCCGAATCTTTTACATCTCCGTTATCTCATTATACTGTAGGCTACATTCTGACATGCAAAAGTCATAATTTCACACATGCGCACACTCCCTCCAGGGAAGCAAAAATCATTACCGCAATTCAAGAAGACTTTCCAGCCAAACAAAGCGTTGAAGGAAGGAGTTGGGCTGGTAATGGGTGTGTGAACTGGGGGAAGTCCCAGTGGCTTTATCATGGAGAACAGAAGGCCAAATTTGGCACCTAGACCTAAGGATCCTCACCCCCCTATCCAAAAAAAGAAGAAAAAGGTAAAGGACCCCTGACAGTTAAGTCCAGTCACAGATGACTCTGGGGTTGTGTGCTCATCTTGCTTTACTGGGCAAGGGAGCCCGGTGTTTGTTCACAGGCAGTTTTTTTCCGGGTCATGTGGCCAGCATGACTAAGCCGCTTCTGGCGAAACCGGAGCAGCACACAGAAATGCCGTTTACCTTCCCGCTGGAGCAGTACCTATTTATCTACTTGCACTTTGACGTACTTTCAAACTGCTAGGTTGGCAGGAGCTGGAATCGAGCAACAGGAGCTCACCGTGTTGCGGGGATTCGAACCGCCGACCTTCTGATCAGCAAGCCCAAGTGGCTTAGTGGTTTTAAAAACCCCTATCCTAAGGCCACCACAATAAACCTTGGCTGCCCTGACGGATAACCTTTGAGAGAGCGGAGCTATGTGTTCCTCTTGATTCTCCTTGATTTCTTAACCGCTCTTGATCCCATCAATGGCAGTATCTTGCTGAAGATACAGTTGTAGAACAGTTACGCTCCAACCTGCAGGTCCAGTTCTCGAAAGGAGAATTTTGGGACCTGCTCAGCCCTATAATGTTGTTGTTCTGGGATCTTGCAGTGTTCCATTTCCTCCTCCTCTAATAAGAATTCGCAGCTACTACTGGGGGCCATTACAGGATCTGGAGCAAGATGTCAGTGATACACTTCTTGACCTTGAGCTCTTCTCACCATCTGAGTCAGCTGAGGCTGTGCAAGTGCTGGATCAGTGCCTCCTGTCATCCCTGACCGTTGGTCATGCTGGCAGGGCTGACCAGGGTTTCAGTAAACCACAGAGCTTAGGACTTGCTGATCAGAAGGTCGGCGGTTCGAATCCCCGCAACGGGGTGAGCTCCCGTTGCTCTGTCCCAGCTCCTGCCAACCTAGCAGTTCGAAAGCACGTCAAAGTGCAAGTAGATAAATAGGTACCGCTCCAGCGGGAAGGTAAACGGTGTTTCCGTGCGCTGCACTGGTTCGCCAGAAGCGGCTTAGTCATGCTGGCCACATGACCCGGAAGCTGTACGCCGGCTCCCTCGGCCAATAAAGCGAGATGCGCGCCGCAACCCCAGAGTCGTCCGCGACTGGACCTAATGGTCAGGGGTCCCTTTACCTTTACCTTAACAGAAACATACTTTTTTTGTTTTCTATTTTGTGCCTCCATGGAAGGAATGTTGAATATCAAGTCTTTTGTGCTTGCAGTCTTTCACATGTTCCCCTTTCAGTCTGAAAGCAAAATATATTGTAGAAATGCACATGTCAATAGAGGACCAGTGTTCTTGTGTTCAGTGCAAAGTTGTTAAAGCAGTTGAATTGCGGTTCTCCTAAAAGAAACAAAAAACGTTACTTCTATTAAAGGGAGTAAGGCTGTTTTGGATTATGTCGATTTGAGGGGGGGTTTTGCAGGCAATAGTCAGGATCATGGTACTGGGAAGTGAACTTGCAGCATATTAAAATGTGTTTTATAATTGATTTGACAGTGATTTCTTTTGACAAGTGCGTGAGCCCGTTTCCTGAACACAGCAAATTCCAGAAAAGGTTGTGGTTTTGAAAACAGTACTGTATTCCTGACTATATATATATGTGGCATATAGTGAGATAATATGTGGATTTTCTTTAAAGATAGCCACCTCTAAAATGGCTTGTTCTTTTTAAAAACTATTTGCATATTTGCTCTGTGTGAGCGCTTTCTCAAATTTCGCATATATGTATAGTTATCGGAAACTGCCATCTGCAACTTCTTTCAAGGTATAATTCTGCTGAGCTATTTCCTTAATGCATCTGGAATTTGATTCTCTCTCTCCTCCCCCCGGTTCCAAGCCATGTTGCAACAAAACTGAGTTGATCGTTTGCACTGTATATAATGCAAGCAATCCAGTTTGCTTCAGACTTGAACTTACTGTTACTGTGGTTTTATAGGCGAGTCATTAGGGGACTTGGGCTGTATCTGAGAGTGAGGCCAATAAGATTACACTGCAAGATCAGGTCTTTCAGAATTCTAACAGTCTGCAGTTTTATACTGATAATGTAAAAGGAGAAGAAGGAGTAGTAACTCGTGACCAGAAACTATCCTGTCTTGCTTTCTCATACTTTCTTCCCATCTCAGTGCAAAAGCCACTGAGGTTTGCTTAATTCACTCTTTTCATGTCTCAGCTGATTGCTAAGTATTTGTATTTATTATACAGTGGTACCTTGGTTCTCAAACTTAATCCTTTCTGGAAGTCCGTTCCAAAACCGAGGCGTGCTTTCCCATAGAAAGTAATTCAAAATGGATTAATTCGTTCCAGACAAAATAAATAGCAAAAACAGACGGACCTCATCGTAACACTCAAAACGGAAGTGTGGCACTCAAATCGGAAGCGTAACACTCAAAATGGAGTACGTTCGGCTTCCAAAAAAAGTTCACAAACTGGAACACTTACTTCCGGGTTTGCAGTGTTTGGGTTCCAAGTTGTTTGAGTACCAAGGCGTTTGAGAACCAAAGTCCCACTGTAAATCTTTTTTTAAAAAACAACAACCCATTTTTAAATCTTTTGCTTTAGAACTGTACATATTTGTGAAGCATGTTTTAAATCACAGTTGCCAACTTTTCACCCAAAGTCAGTTGCCATATTTACATCTGTCGTGCTCCTGTGCTGCTTCCAGGTTTCCTATAGGCACCTGGCTAGGCAGTGTGAGAACAGGATGAGGGACTTTGATGGAGCTTTGGTCTTGATCCAGGAGGATCTTCTTAAATTCTTATTGCTGCTCTTCCATCTTCATCAGCCACAGTTGTCTTCTGTGCCCTTAAACGAGTGACCATCTCTGCTCTTTATGCCTGGAACCAGGGTGGATAAAAATCAATGATCTTTTTTAAAAGATAAAAAAATTGGATTTTTAAAAAATATATCTAAATTGGATTTTTAAAAATATATTTAAATTGGATTTTTAAAATAAAATGCTTTTAGAGGAAAAATCTCTCTAAAGATAGTTTTCTGCTTAAGTTTCATTATAGTCCAAAGGCTATTCATCAGGAAATAAAGATTTATTTTAAGTTTTTCATGTGTGCCAAAACTCAGTCTAAGCTGAGTGGTGACACCCCTTTCCTCCGCCCCTGCCCAAACCAGTGATCGGATTTCCTCACTGAGAATCCCAGAGGAGCCTGTGCACCATGCCCAGACTTTGGTTGGATCCAACATCTGCTACAAAGGGATCCCCACAAGCTCTCCTACAACTAATCCAGAATGCGGCAGCTAGACTGGTGACTGGGAGCGGCCGCCGAGACCACATAACACCGGTCTTAAAAGACCTACATTGGCTCCCAGTACGTTTCCGAGCACAATTCAAAGTGTTGGTGTTGACCTTTAAAGCCCTAAACGGCCTCGGCCCAGTATACCTGGAGGAGCGTCTCCACCCCCACTTTTCTGCCCGGAGGTCCAGCGCCGAGGGCCTTCTGGCGGTTCCCTCATTGCGAGAAGTGAGGTTACAGGGAACCAGGCAGAGGGCCTTCTCGGTAGTGGCACCTGCCCTGTGGAACGCCCTCCCATCAGACGTCAAAGAGAAAAACAACTACCAGACTTTTAGAAGACATCTGAAGGCAGCCCTGTTTAGGGAAGCTTTTAATGTTTAATAGGTTATTGCATTTTAATATTCTGTTGGAAGCTGCCCAGAGTGGCTGGGGAAACCCAGCCAGATGGGCGGGGTATAAATAATAAATTATTATTATTATTATTATTACTCCTTCAAGAAAATACTGCTCCTTTCCACGTGGTTTCTTGGGTCCGGTTTATTTTTTATTTCCGCTAACCTGTGAACACAACTCAGCGCTTTCAGGACCTTGCCCAACTCTCACTGTTCCGAGACGTGAATATTTTTTGTTCCGCATACAGTGGTACCTCGGGTTACATACGCTTCAGGTTACATATGCTTCAGGTTACAGGCTCTGCTAACCCGGAAATATTACCTCGGGTTAAGAACTTTGCTTCAGGATGAGAACAGAAATTGTGCTCTGGCGGTGCAGCAGCAGTGGGAGGCCCCATTAGCTAAAGTGGTGCTTCAGGTTAAGAACAGTTTCAGTTTAAGTACGGACCTCTGGAATGAATTAAGTACTTAACCTGAGGTACCGCTGTACTATACAACTGGCAGAAACACGAAGCATTTCACCCCCCGTCTCTTCAGCCTGAAAATGTCTCTGGTGCCGCTCACAAAGATCAGTAACAAAGCCAGACAGTCAAACTGTGGGTATCCCTCCGAGTGAGAAATTTAAAATCGTATCCAAACACTTACATCAGGGAAGTGGGAGAGGAGAGTTAGGCTGCTATAGTTAGGCTGGTTGGAGGAGGTGAGAACGTGTGGGAGCAGAGGGGAGGGTTGGTGTCTGGATAGAAGCGGAGAAAATGAGAGAAGGAGGAGGGTGGAAAGGGGGGAACGAAGAAAAGACGAGATGGAGAGAACAAGGAAGTGGATGGAGCTAAAGGGAGGGAATAGGAAAGGCCTCTGGAGAATAGAGGGGCAGTCAGGAGGAGATATTTCCTCTCCAACCCTGCTACAGGACCTGTGCAGGTAAACAGTAATAGTGATCATTATAATCACCATCATCCTTAATAGAGCTTTGATAAATGCATCAATGGGTAAGGGTAAAGGGACCCCGACCATTAGGTCCAGTCGTGGCTGACTCTGGGGTTGTGGTGCTCATCTCGCCTTATTGGCCGAGGGAGCCGGCTTACAGCTTCCGGGTCATGTGGCCAGCATGACTAAGCCACTTCTGGCGAACCAGAGCAGCGCACGGAAACACCATTTATCTTCCCGCCAGAGTGGTACCTATTTATCTACTTGCACTTGTGCTTTGGAACTGCTAGGTTGGCAGGAGCAGGGACCGAACAACGGGAGCTCACCCCGTCGCAGGGATTCAAACCGCCGACCTTCTGATCGGCAAGCGCTAGGCTCTGTGGTTTAACCCACAGCGCCACCCGCGTCCCATCAATGTGTACATATGGATAAGCAGTGCCCACCCTTGCGGGGGGGGGGGGGGAGTTCGGTCAGACATTTTCTTGCCCATTACAGTGTAACTCACAAAGACAAGCAAGGCACAGCCGTGTAATTTTGAAACTCCCCAACTTATCTATTCCCTACCTGAGTTGTGTGAAGAATATGTAAAAAGAGGGCATGGCACACATTGTCTTGGACCCGGCCCTGTTTACCTACGCAGGCAATCTTTTGTTGTTGTCACGTTAAATAACTGCATGCTCACAGTTTGCCATCTAAGCAGAGTAAAACCAGGTCTAAACAGAACAGGGGGTGTTATTTCCCATTCATAAGCAGCCCTTTCACGTTCAGATTTAATATACCAGACTTAGAATTCTTCAGAATCCTAAATCCATTTTGGCATGTTTTGTAAAAAATTATGTAATGGAGGAAATTTAGTAACTCTTCTTTGAAAGTTACAACGCTGTGCCCAAGCTGCTTTATTCTGCAGGCCTGAAAACTAGAGTTTTGCTAAATGTAGGTCTCACATTAGGCAGTTTTTGTTTTGCTGTTCAGTATAGAATCATGGATTTATGAATGCGTGCATTTAGAGAACGGCAGCCTACTTCCGCTTAATTGTGAATTGGGTGCATTATTTGGGACTCAGCAGTGCATGTAAGAACTTAAAGGTAAAGGTAAAGGTAAAGGGACCCCTGACCATTAGGTCCAGTCATGGCCGACTCTGGGGTTGCGGCGCTCATCTCGCTTTATTGGCTGAGGGAGCTGGCGTACAGCTTCCGGGTCATGTGGCCAGCATGACTAAGCCACTTCTGGAGAACCAGAGCAGCGCACGGAAACACCGTTTACCTTCCTGCCGGAGCGGTACCTATTTATCTACTTGCACTGGCCTGCTTTCGAACTGCTAGGTTGGCAGGAACTGGGACCGAGCAACGGGAGCTTATCCCGTTGTGGGGATTCGAACTGCCGACCTTCTGATCGGGAAGTCCTAGGCTCTGTGGTTTAACCCACAGTGCCACCCGCGTCCCTTATGTAAGAACTTACTTTGGATTATATCCAGCTTGTGTCTTCTAGAGCTACCCCCAGATTGTTGCACCCAGCAAGTTGTGGTTTTAGCAACAAAACCTATTGCTTCTTCTAAAAAAATGGTGCACCTTGGTATAATAGGGTCGTGTCACCTGCATGAAGGGGAAAGCTCCTGAACAATAACATTTATGTTAGAGAATGGTTTGATTCGCATTACATTTTAAGCCAAACTGTGATTACCAGGACCAATGAAAAGCTTCCTGGAGCTAGACCTAGCTGTCTTCAACCCCTTGTCCTAATTTACCTAAAAAGAAGTCATGTACTGTATATATTTTGGGGGGAACATCAAGAAGTCTTCTTGGGCAATAGTCTTGGAGGAACATCTCAATTGCCTTTATTAAAGATGGGAACTAAAATACAAAATGTCCAGCCAGCTGGCAATATTCAAGTTGAATTTACTGTAATAAACGGAAGTGGCTCATTGGAGCCCACCAGGCTGGGACAGTATGGAATAAAAAAACAAGCAACCACCAGGCAATGGCTTGTCTCTCCCTGGTGCTTTGCCCAAGGGCAAATCTCTTTAAAAGGCATTTTCCTTCTGTTTTGTTAACAGTGGTCAAATACCTGCACCATCTCAAAACCTGCTCGTGGTGTAGTGGTTAAGAGCGGTAGACTTGTAATCTGGTGAACTGGGTTCGATTCCCCGCTCCTCCACATGTAGCTGCTGGGTGACCTTGGGTTAGTCCCACTTCTCTGAAGTCTCTCATCCCACTCACCTCACAGAGTGTTTGTTGTGGGGGAGGAAGGGAAAGGAGAATGTTAGCCGCTTTGAGACTCCTTAGGGTAGTGATAAAGCGGGATATCAAATCCAAACTCTTCTTCTTTTCATTACGCAATGGATCTGAAAGATCAGGCTTGTCAATTGTACATGGCTAAAAGGTTCTTTGCTTCCACAGCTACCGTATTTTTCGCTCCATAAGACGCATTTCCCCCCCCCTAAAAAGTAAGGGGAAATGTCTGTCTTATGGAGCGAATGCGTGGTTCCTGGAGGCGAATTGCCCAGGGGCGAAAAACAGATCATGCCTTTTTTTTTTTTTTTTAGAAAGAGGGTAGGGGGTGTTGAAACAAAGCCACTGAGCAGTTGATCGGCAAGCGATTGGGAGGGATAGGGGACTCTAGATAATAAAGGAGGCTGCTTGGGAGGGGGGAGGTAAAAGCACATGGATCCTCAGGATTTTTGCACTGGGTCACCCCAAATTCACCATCAGATCACATAGCATGTCCATGGCTATAGCCTGCATCAAAAAATCACGCACCCACTGTTTTGTGGGGCCGCAATGGCACGGATCCACATGGATTCTCAGGATTTTTGCATTGGGCTACCCCAAACTCAACGTCAAATCACATATCATGTCTGTGGCCACTGCATGAACCACAAAAATAATACATCCACTGTTTCGTTCAGAATATTTTTTTCCTTGTTTTCCTCCTATAAAAACTACGTGCGTCTTATGGAGCGAAAAATACGGTGTCTCTCAACGTTAAGGGGTCTTCAGGGACTGTACAGCCCTGGGGGTGGGCTCACACTTGGGGGGAGGGGGCGGCAGCTTCACACAACATTGATTCGATGCAACTGTCTCATCTGAACTGTGCAAATGTTTTCAACCCAGACTGTTGCGTAGTTGCGACCTGACTGATGGCGGAAACATTCATCAAAGGCAGAGGCACAGACTTGCCATATCAGCTCTACTCATTGTGTGGCAGATGGGCGCACCCCGTAGACATCCTTCTTTTCCAGCTTGACATAAATTTAACATGGCTGGTACGTCCCATTTCTCACTGGGAGCTGTAAAAATACACCCCCAAGCAGCAGTCTTGTTGACTGCCTTTGAAAAAACGAAAAGGTCAAAGCAGTTTGAAAAAGCGCCGCAGGAGCGTCTAAGCATTGGGAGAGGAACTTTGGGCTTGCGACAAATTACTTGTTTGCTATGTTGCATCATTCTATCTCTTAACTCCTGGTTAAGGAGCCGTAGGAATTACCTGTGCAAGCAGGAAAGAAACAGCGTCTATCTTTTGAGGCAGATGATTTTAGTGTCCATTGCTGATGCGTTGTGCAAAACAGCGAAGGGCTATAAGCTCACTGGCTGAGCGCATGCATGAATGCAGGAAACCTCTCCGGAACTTCACCTGAGTGAACTAACAAAGAATTCCCTTGGAATTCTGAGAAAAGTGTTGTGCAGTGCTTTTCTATTTTCGTCATTATTTGTATACTGTCCTATACTCCGCCCGCCGCCCCAAGCCTCGCTGATGTGGTCCAAAGGAAAGCAGAACAATACTTTTGGCACCAGCTTGCTGGACGAGACATCGGAAGGCAGCCCTGTTTAGGGAAGTTTTTAATGTTTGATGTTTTATTGTGCTTTTAATATTCTCTTGGAACCACCCAGAGTGGCTGGGGGAACCTAGCCAGATGGGTGGGAAAGAAAGAAAGAAAGAAAGAAAGAAAGAAAGAAAGAAAGAAAGATTATTATTGGGATTTTTGTATGGTTTACTCCTTATTATTCCTTCACATAGATTAAGCATAGCCAAACTTGGCACTCCAGCTGTTTTGCGACTACGATTCCCATCAACACTAGCTAACGGGACCAGTGGTCAGGGATGATGGGAATTGTAGTCCCAAAGCAACTGGAGGGCCAAGTTTGCCTGATGTTATAGATGGACTACGTACCTTCTCAGGTCGATGAGCCCCACCTGCTCCTAATTTCCCCCTACAGCCAGTGCAGAAATCTCCTCCTTGATCATTGGACCCATTTTTGGTCTCCTCTGCTTAATCCGCCAGATCCTTTCTTCACATGCAGCAGAAGTCCCTCGCTCACCCAGCGTCTCAGACCCATTGGCTACCCTTATCTGGTTTAGCCAGCCAGGCTGACAGCTTCTAGGAGCCACCAGAGGTATTACCTCTCCCCTAGTGTCCCCTAATGCGGGTGGCGCTGTGGGTTAAACCACAAAGCCTAGGACTTGCCGACCAGAAGGTCGGCGGTTCGAATCCCCGCGACGGGGTGAGCTCCCGTTGCTCGGTCCCAGCTCCTGCCAACCTAGCAGTTCCAAAGCACGTCAAAGTGCAAGTAGATAAATAGGTACCACTCCGGCGGGAAGGGAAACGGTGTTTCCGTGTGCTGCTCTGGTTCGCCAGAAGCGGCTTAGTCCTGCTGGCCACATGACCCGGAAGCTGTCCGCCGGCTCCCTTGGCCAATAAAGTGAGATGAGCGCCCCAACCCCAGAGTCGGTCATGACTGGACCTAATGGTCAGGGGTCCCATTAATGTCTTATTCACCACCACGGTTTCATATAGATGTTAAAATAGCATAGGAGACAGAATGGACCCCAAAGCTATGGAGCCAAGCACCAGTCTCCTAAAATTACTGTCTGGTGATGACCCTGCAGGTAGGAGCAGAGCCTCCAACTCCCTGAATCACTCCAGAAGAAAACTATGGTAAAGAATTTCAAACGCCACTATTTCGGGCCCCTGTTATGTATGCTTTTCAAAATGCAAACATAGCGGCTGCCTGCCACAGTGAGAAGGCATCACTCGGAACAACCTGCGCAGGGACTTGGGTGGGTGAAATTAAAAATGGGAACGGAAGGCTGCCAAGTTTTGAATTCCCCAGCAGGACTGTCATCGTAGTAGTTCCGAATGACTCAAGCGAGTGAACCAAGCCGCGTGTGTGTAGCCAACAACAACAATAGCAGAAGGGGGAGAGAAAGGAAGGCTGAGTCAACAGACAATCTGATTTGGGGGGGAAATTTCTTCTCGCTCATATTTTGTTGGAAAGACCTAGAAAATGAGCAAACTTAAGCCCACGGCTTTTGGTGTTGGTGGCAAGGAGTCTGAGGTAGAATTCGTTTACGACGCTCCGTATGGGGAATGATCCTTTTTCATGTGCATAAATTGAAATAGATTTCTCTGGCGATAACTGGGAGGTGACAACTCTGTGTGCTGATGATTTCCAGCCCAGCTTCTCAGTTGAGGCAGTAAAATCTAGGGGGAGACAGTGTGGTGTAGTGGTTAGAGCACTGCACTAGGACCTGGGAATGAGACCAGGCTTCTAATCGCCCACTGAGCCATGAAGCCCCTTGGGTGACCTTCGGCTAGGCACTCACTCTCAGCCTTAACTTGCGGGATTGTTGAGAATAAAATAGGGAGAAGTACGTATAGCTCTTTGGAGGAAAGGTGGGATATAAATTCAATTAAAAAATAAACGTGCTGGATCAGTACTTGGGATCAGCTGACTGCTACTGCAGTGTAATGTTCAACCTGTTCTAAATGGGGTTGCCCTCTGTCATAGCCCCATTCGGGACCGCCTCTCCTGGTATACCCTGCGGAGGACCTTAAGGTCCACAGATGACAACATTTTGGAGGTCCCAGGTCGCAAGGTGGTTAGATTGGTCTCAACGAGGGCCAGGGCCTTTTCAGTACTGGCCCCGGCTTGGTGGAACGCTCTGTCACAAGAGACTAGGGCCCTGCGGGACTTGACATCTTTCTGCAGGGCCTGCAAGACAGAGCTGTTCCACCTGGCCTTTGGTTTGGACTCAGTCTGACCCTTATGTTTCCCTCCCCTTATGGTTTTGATCCATGGGCTACTATTAAAATGAGGCTGCATTTTAAATTATATTTTAACCTGTATTTTAAATTGGTTCCCCCCTATTACGTTTTTATTGTAATTTTACTGGTGTTAGCCACCCTGAGCCCAGGGAGGTAAAAGGGACCCCAGACCATTGGGTCCAGTCGTGACCGACTCTGGGGTTGCGGCGCTCATCTTGCTTTATTGGCCGAGGGAGCCGGCGTACAGCTTCCGGGTCATGCGGCCAGCATGACTAAGCTGCTTTTGGCGAACCAGAGCAGCGCACGGAAACGCTGTTTACCTTCCCGCCATGTGGGTTAAACCACAGAGCCTAGGACTTGCCGATCAGAAGGTTGGTGGTTCGAATCCCTGTGACGGGGTGAGCTCCCGTTGCTCGGTTCCTGCTCCTGCCAACCTAGCACTTTGAAAGCACGTCAAAGTGCAAGTAGATAAATAGGTACCGCTCTGGCAAGATGAGTGCCGCAACCCCAGAGTCGGTCACGACTGAACCAGAGCAGCGCACAGAAACGCCATTTACCTTCCCACTGGAGCGGTACCTATTTATCTACTTGCACTTTGACGTGCTTTCGAAGTGCTAGGTTGGCAGGAGCAGGAACCGAGCAACGGGAGCTCACCCCATCGTGGAGATTCGAACCGCCGACCTTCTGCTCAGCAAGTCCTAGGCTCTGTGGTTTAACCCACAGCGCCACCCGCGTCCCTGAGCCCAGGAAGGGTGGAGTATAAATAAAAAATTATTATTATTATTATTATTCGAGTCCCGTTGCTGAGCGAGCAGGTGTTGGGAGTCTCTAAGGTACATTCACCTGAAAGCAGACTCCGCATTCAAAGTCAGACAGTCCAGAGGTCAGGGAACCCAGATGATCTCAGAGCCCAAGGATCCAGGATGGAGAGCAAGAAGCAGTCAGCTAGAGCCATGGACCACAAGTGTTGTTTCCAGCATCTGACTGCTGCTGAGGGCTCTCTTTGAGAAGGCCGGAGCCAACTCGTTCCCATCAGTGCCTTCTCTGTGTCCTTGAAGGCTGATTAGCGGCAGGTGGAGTCCCTTGGCCTCCTTCCCCCTTCAGGCAGCTGTTCAGCAGGTGAAGCTGACTCCTGGCTCACAACACCTGCTGGTGGATAACCTCTAGACGGGACAATTGCAATGTGTTGTACATGGGACCACCTTTTAACACCTTGGGTACTTTGGTTACTATGAAAAACAGCTGTTAGGTTACTCAACAAGGCCGGATTCAGAAGCATAGCTGTCAACCGTCCCTTATTTGGCGGGAAAGTCCCTTATCCCAGCGCCGTGTCCCGCTGCTGTCCCTTATTGATGATGTCCCTTAAATTTCCCGGGTTTCAAAGGAAGCAGCTCCTTTCCCTTTCTGCCTGCCGGCCAGGGAGGAGGGAGGCTCCAACTGTGTTGCTTGGCTGCGTTGCTCACCCAATAAGGAGTCTACGAACGACTAGGGGGTGGAGCTTGCATGCCTTGTGCCGATCAAATCGGCCGCGTTGCGTGGGGACTCGCCTTTGCTCAGCGCTTCCCAGCGGAGAGGTGACGTTGGTTTTCCTTGCTGCATCCCCTTTGCTGGGTTGCTGCGCTGTGGGAACCACCGCTTGAGGCTTCGTTTGGCTGCTGGCTGGGCTTTCTGTCTTTGGCTCGGAGGGGCTCAGAAGTCGAACATACCTGTGTTTGAAAAATCCCTTATTTTGGCTGCTGGTCCCTTATTTTCGAGGCTGCTGGTCCCTTATTTTCAAATCTGTAAGTTGACAGCTATGTTCAGAAGGCATTTGGCTCCTCCTGATGTTGAACTCTGTCCCGGAATGCAGACCATATTGTGGTAAAAACAGCGCCATCACGTGACGAAAAGGAGGGCCCTGCCTAACTCCTCTACCTCAAGCAAACACAGAGGAGGTTCTCCAAAGTGGAACGGTGTTTGGGGTCAGGTTCATATGGGGCAATTGGACTAGTGCGTCTCTTTGACCCTAAAGCATAATGTATACCGTATTTTTTGCACCATAACACTCACTTTTTTCCTCCTAGAAAGTAAGGGGAAATGTCTGTGCGTGTTATGGAGCGAATGCCTACGGATGGCGGGGGGATTTGCTGCAGTCGTGAGCAGAGGATCCATGGTTCCCCTTCCTTCCCTCCTCCATGGCTCGCTTTGCTCGCTTTGAAACAGCAAAGCGGGAGAAGAGCCGCTGAGTGGGGAGAAGAGAGGGACAGAGAGCCTGGTTACAAAGCACGGATCCACATGGATCCTCAGGATTTTTGCATTGGGCTACCCCAAACTCACCGTCAGATCACATGTCTGTGGCCACAGCATGAACCACAAAAATCATACATCCACTGTTTCGTTTAGAATATTTTTTTTCTTGTTTTCCTCCTCTAAAAACTATGTGCGTGTTATGGTCTGGTGCGTGTTATAGAGCGAAAAATACGGTAATTTACAAGGACTTTTATCTGCATCTTCCTCAGACGTAGGAGAGGCAAGAACGGATGGTTTGTAGACAAATATATTATGTGCCTGGGGGACGCATCTGGAAATCTTAGAAATTGTCACGGGTACTGCAGAGAAGAAAAGCTGGCAATGCTAACTATATATGCCACTTCAGACGATGGAGACCCAAGGTTTAGCAAATGTTTGAAACTCATAGCTGCCAGGACTATTACACCTGGACTGCAATTTGCATTGCAAAATTGAGTGAAAGGTGTAAGGTCCATTAGGTCCAGTCGTGGCCGACTTTGGGGTTGCGGCGCTCATCTCACTTTATTGGCCGAGGGAGCCGGCGTACAGCTTCCGGGTCATGTGGCCAGCATGACGAAGCCATTTCTGGCGAACCAGAGCAGCACACGGAAATGCCATTTACCTCCCCGCCGGAGTGGTACCTATTTATCTACTTGCACTTTGACGTGCTTTCGAACTGCTAGGTTGGCAGGAGCAGGGACCAAGCAACGGGAGCTCACCCCATCACGGGGATTCGAACCGCCAACCTTCTGATCGGCAAGTCCTAGGCTCTGTGGTTTAACCCACAGTGCCACCCGTTATACAGGAGTTGTCAGCTTTGTCTTAGATAATGTTTGGCTGCTGGTCCTATTCTCTTCTCTTAGTTTTAGTCTCTCTCTCTCTCTCTCTCTCTCTCTCTCTCTCTCTCTCTCTCTCTCTTTTCAATGTACCTACACTAAGAGACCACCAGGCACAAGCAATCTGGCCTTAAGATTTGCCGATGGTGCTACACTGAGGCCTATTGAAGAACAACCCCCCCCCGAGTGCTGGTGAAAGATGCGACTTTGTGTGCCTGTGTACAGTGAATCAGAATTAAAATTGCCACCAGTGACTCACTCGAGAATTGGGGCCAGCTATACACAAGTGGATTGCAGGCAGCTTTGTATCTTGTTTTCTTCAGTAATTATAGGGGTGGGAGAGATTGAGGCTCACTCTGAAGGCAGTGCCTAAGATGGGGAGGCCCTCTCCTCACCCTCCCACTGAGATCAGAAAGGAAACCACATACACACCAAACATGACTAGGAGTTTAAGCGGAAAAAGCTCCCTTTATTTTCAGGGAAAGCATGGCTTGATAAGGACATTTGGGTCAGTTTCAGGCTATACCATCAAATCATTTGGGACATCTGAGATGCATGGAAGCATCTTGGTGAGAGTTTGATGTTTATTCCAATCTGACGATGTGGGAAATGGGATTACAGTGGTACCTCGGGTTACATACGCTTCAGGTTACATACGCTTCAGGTTACAGACTCCGCTAACCCAGAAATAGTGCTTCAGGTTAAGAACTTTGCTTCAGGATAAGAACAGAAATCGTGCTCCGGAGGCAGCAGGAGGCCCCATTAGCTAAAGTGGTGCTTCAGGTTAAGAACAGTTTCAGGTTAAGTACGGACCTCCGGAACGAATTAAGTACTTAACCCGAGGTACCACTGTACTTTCTACCAGGTACCCATCTTAGAATCCTGTTGGTTCCATTGTTGGGCCTGAACCGGATTTCACACACAACATGTCTCAACGGTGTACGTTTTGCTTCCTGGACACTGTGCATTAATTGCATCAGAGTGGTTGTGTAGAGAGGCCTTCTTTGTTTGCAGAAGTCATTAGCACTGACGGAGGAGAAAACACCCCCCAGACAGCAGCTATGGTGATGGCTTCCACTCACCGTGGACCTTTCACTAGCCATGACCTCCTAGACCCTTCAGACATGTGGGGTTTCCAGGATGCTGGGCCAAGTATGAAGCTCTCTGCTGCAGACGACAGGCATCCATCAGCTTCCAACTGGTAAGTACAATGGTTATTGTGCAGTCAGCATGCTAATGGGTTGGGCAGCCTGAAAGTCCATAACTAGTGTGAGATTTTGTTGGGGTTAAGTGGACGTAGGCTGTGTTTTTCATGGATTACAGTGGACGTGTTTGATGGTTGGAGGCAGGAGGAGATGAGCCTGGGGGAGGAGTAGATTCCTGAAAGAATAAGGGGAAAGTAGAGGTTGATTCTCGAAGCTAGTGCATATTATTTCTTTTCTATCTTTTCAGGTGGAGAAAAAGAGTAGCCACAGCACCTTCCAATGTTGGCTTCTAGAGCCAAGGTAGGTTTCTGCAAATGGATGGTGTGGGACTAGGAGGAAGGGAAGGGGGTCAGGCCACATAACTTGGCTGTTCTTTGGGTTGGACATTTGGACTGGCAGCAGGAAGCAGTTGGAGAATGAAAGACCACAGACAGGCTAGTACAGGGTTTCCCAAACCTGGGTCTCTAGCTGTTTTTGGACTACAATTCCCATCATCCCTGACCGCTTGGTCCTGTTAGCTAGGGATCATGGGAGTTGTAGTCCCAAGACATCTGGAGGGCCAAATTTGCCTATGCCTGCTGTTTAGCTAGGGATGATGGGAGTTGTAGTCCAACAGCAGCTGGAAACCCAAGTTTGGGAAGCTCTGGGCTAGTGCTTACAACTACTCACCTCTCTTTCGTTCTCTTACTCTTCTCCTCCTTTGCTGACGCTTGCGCTGTCCTGTCAGACCTGGACAGCCATGTTTCGGATGTGGAAGAGTAAGAGTAAGGATGACAGCTTCCTCTTAACTCTTGGCAACATCCACTGCACGTCTGCTTGCAAGCAAGCTGGGGGGTGGTGGTTTAGTACAAAATGCGTTCAGGGCAAAGCAACTGATTCCAGATCTCCTCTCCTGTGTTGCAGGAGCAGCCAGAATGGCAACAGCAGAACCAGCACCGTACCACAAGTTACGTGAAGTCTGCTTTGTGGACAAAGAACGCTCGTCTGGTCTGCCCCTGTAGCTGCAACCAGACCCTCACGTCTCAAGCGCAAGATGTTAAGAGCAGTGAAGTAGCAAAGTTTGCTGATATTGAATAAATTGTTGGGGGGGGGTTGTGTGTGTGAGGAGGCAGCTATCCCTCGTCCTTGGACTATGGTGGGAGGGAGTTGACCACACCAGTCCCAGGGCTGGCATTGTTTCAGGCACTGGTTGGGCATCTGTCAGAAAACATGGAAGCTTAGGATCCTATAGTGCCATGCCCTCCCTGCTGCCAACACCACCTGGAACACACCTGCCGCCATCTCAGGCAGAACACAGAATACGTCCCATGGGCGTCCTGACCAGCACACCTGAGCAGCCCTGGCGTTGCTTCTTGCGGCTCCTCAGCTGGGTGTAGGATTGCACCTTACAAGTAGCTAAGTGCAGTTTCGTGCTGAGCAGAAGGGCTTTCCAGATAATGTTCTCCGAGCCGAGTCCAGTAGCTTAAATAAGAACCACACGCTTTGGGATAGAAATGCGCACAGCAGTGTATTCTGGTGTTGAGGGGCAGCGGAAACAATAACACGGTGGGTTTTTAATTCCTGCAGAACCAGCGTCCTTGGGGTACAGGGGAGATCAAGAACCACCCCCATGCTCACGCTGAACCAAGCACACCTACAGAGCCTGCCTTTCTTGAAGGAGATCTCCAGGACGTCACAGAGAATATTCTACGGACTATTTTGCAGAAAAAGGCAATGCATATTTGTACAGTATATGTTCCAGAGCCTCCCCCCACCCCGTTTCTTTCTTTCAAAGTTTCTTCAAGTTATTATTAGAAATTCTCTTTCTGTATTAAAAATGGAGTTTGCCTTTTTCCAATTTAACAGATTGCGTGCGCATTTGTTGCCTCGCCAGTTCTTTTTCCCCGGTCTCCAAGGAACGCAGTAACCCTCTTCCACTGACTGCTGGCTCTGTCACTTTCTGTCTGCATCGCAAGCTGATGCGTTGTCAGTAACACCTGAAACAGATGATTTGAACATCTAGCAGAAACCTCTGATCTCAGGGCTTGGCTCACAGACCATACTGTCACCCTGGCAATAGGACCCAGCAGTGCTGCTTCCTGGGGGCGCCCATTGGTTCTCTTCTTGTTTACAAGTGTTGTTTTCATTTAAGGCTTTCCCCTTCAGCTCCTTCCCCATAATGCCATCATCCCTCCAGGCTTAGAAGGAAGAGGAAGCGTCTCTGCATGTGAAATCTCCTTCCTTTAAAAAAACTTCCCTCCATTACTGTCCAAGCCTTAAAGAAGAAGAAAAAACTTGAATTGGGTCAGAGCAGCAGAGCTGAGAGACTATTTACTACAGCATTTTCCCACTTAACCCTCACCAAGTTGCTGTTGGCCTCAGTTGAGGAGAAAATGCAACTTCTCAGCATTTTGGCTCTCCCCCCCTAATATAGCTCCCTTCCAGTCTAGTTTTCAGAATAAAGGTAAAGGGACCCCTGACCATTAGGTCCAGTCGTGGCCGACTCTGGGGTTGCTGCGCTCATCTCGCTTTATTGGCCGAGGGAGCCACCGTACAGCTTCCGGGTCATGTGGCCAGCATGACTAAGCCGCTTCTGGCGAACCAGAGCAGCGCATGGAAACGCCGCTTACCTTCCCACCGGAGCGGTACCTATTTATCTACTTGCGCTTTGACGTGCTTTTGAACTGCTAGGTTGGCAGGAGCAGGAACCGAGCAACGGGAGCTCGCCCCGTCGTGGGGATTCGAACCACCGACCTTCTGATCGGCAAGTCCTAGGCTCTGTGGTTTAACCCACAGCACCACCCAGTTTTCAGAATACTGAAACTTAAAATCAAGTCCTGATCCCTGGGTCACTTCACAAGGTCAATAGTTGCATGCCAGGGCCCCGTAACCCCCTGATATAGAAAAATAACCAGGATGCAGGTGGCGTTGTGGTCTAAACTACTGAGCCTCTTGGCCTTGCCGATCGGAAGGTTGGCTGTTCAAATCCCTGCAATGGAGTGAGCTCCCGTTGCTCTGTCCCAGCTCCTGCCAACCTAGTAGCTTGAAAGCACATCAGTGCAAGAAGATAAATAGGTACTGCTGCAGCGGGAAGGTAAACGCCGTTTCCGTGCACTCTGGTTTCCATCACGGTGTCTCATTGCGCCAGAAGCGGTTGAGTCCTGCTGGCCACATGACCCAGAAAGCTGTCTGCGGACAAACGCCTGCTCCCTCTGCCTAAAAGCGAGTTGAGCGCCACAACCCCATAGTCGCCTTTGACTGGACTTAACTGTCCAGGGGTCCTTTAACTTTTTCTTTTTTCACCTTTAGTACAAATACCAGACAGGGCAATGAGTAATGAATGGGTCAAACAGGCCACAACGTTATTGATTACAGATGTGAAGGTTTTGCCTAAGGCATTGGGTATACCATTTTAACTCCAGCCCATCAGCTGGGAGTGTATTTAGGGTCAACCCAACCTTGGGCGGGTCCTATGACCTACATCAAATAGGGGTACACGCCCTGAGGGGTCCCCATTTGAGGAGTGCTATGGCCCTAGGTCCCGCCTGGTTGTCTGGACTGAAGCAGCTCCTCAGGGATTCCTTTATCAGGATACACTTTCCCACGGAGGGGCAGACAGAGGCTACAACCTCCCCTCCATCCAAGACTCAGGCTTACCCAGTGCCTAGCTGCACAAAGTTGTGGCGATTGCTATGAGGAAGGAGAAAACCACAGGGCCAGAGCCCATTTGCCAAGTGGAAAAATTCCTGCCCGGCCCCCAAAACAGTGGCCAACAATGTCCATAGCAAGGTCAAGAGCCAGCAAATAGCCAGTATTGGAGGGCGGGAGTAGAGGCCTGGGCAGGCCTTCTGTTTATTCCCAGGGTGCGGACCCAAGTGAGGCCTGGGGAGGTCCTGCACAGCAGCCTGCCTTTGATTGGCCAGTTTGCAGGCAAGCTACGATCCGACCAGGCCCCACACCTAGAACCACCGCAGGAGAACCTGCAAATCCACTACTCAGTCTCATGTTGATTCATGCAAATTAGGAACACTTTGTTGATTTGCCATAGGTGATCCGGTGAGCTTGTGCATCCTATTGCAGCGATTCGCAACGAACAGTTCTCGAGGTTCTTCTTCAGCTCACCATGTTTTTAAAGGTGGTTCAGATTGAAAGGGTCAATTGATCATGGGTGCTGTGACAGGGCCTCTTCTGTGGTGGTGCCCACACTTTGGAAATCTCCCCAAGAGGAGATTGCCTAGAATGCTTTCTTCTTCTGGAAGAAAGCCAGAATTGTTTTACTCGGTGAGGGAAGACTACAAGTTTGTTGGCTAGTTTTTTTTTTTGCAAGGATATGACTCTGTTTCTTTCTGTGTGGACTTTGGCATTTCAAATCTCAGCGATGCCTCGAGCAAGGCCAAAATTTGGCAACCTCTCGCCTCCCGTTCGGCTCAATTCACTGTGACATAGTTGTGCCCCCTAAGCTCAGCGCCCATCACTGTGGAACCGGTCTTAGTGCCCTACATCTGGCTAGGGGTACTTGGGGCCTGGGGTCAGATTGGCAGAGCACACACTTGGCACAGATCCACGTGTGGGATTTTGGTGGCTGCGGGAGAAAGAGCAAGACTAGGGGGCTGAGAGGGGACAGAAACACTGGGGCTGAAAGTGGGATAAGAAAGAGCAAGGTGAGTGTATGGGGCAGCAGGAGGGAGAGCCCAGGAAAGCAAACTCTCTTGTTGTGATCTGTGCCAAAGCAACAAAACCCGCCTACTGCTTCCCCCCCCTCCAGTCCCCAGAGGGCTATGTCGGCTGAGCTGCTCTCGCTGAGACCGTAATTGCAGCGTCAGTGAGATCAGAAGAAATCTCGAGTAAATTCTGACGGGATTCAGGGACACCATGCAGAAGGAGCACTGTATTTTTCGCTCTATAAGACGCACTTTCCCCCCCTCCTAAAAAGTAAGGGGAAATGTGTGTGCGTCTTATGGAGCGAATGCAGGCTGCGCAGCTTTCGATGAAGCCAGGAGAGCAAGAGGGATTGGTGCGCACCAATCCCTCTTGCTCTCCTGGCTTCAGGGATAGCCACCCGAAACCACCTGAGCGCAGCGAGAGCGCTCCCGCTGCGCTCAGGAGGCTTCGCGTTGCTTTTGCTGAAGCCAGGAGAGCAGGAGGGATCGATCCCTCTTGCTCTCCTGGCTTCACTTCGCTGGAGAGCCAAGCCGCTGCGCAGCTTTCCCTCGTTGCGCAGCGCCCTTCAGCAAAGTGGCAGGAGAAACGGAGCCCCTTCCGTTTCTCCTGCCGCTTCGCTGAAGGGGCACTGCACAGAGAGGGAGAGAACATTTTTTTTCTTGTTCTCCTCCTCTAGAACTAGGCACATCTTATGGTCGGGTGCGTCTTAGAGAGCGAAAAATACGGTATTTTGAAAAGGTGACTGAGAGGCAACACGATAGACGTTTGTAAAATTATGCGCAGCATGGAAGAAGCAGACAGAGACGTTTCTCTCTCTCCGAAGACTAGAACTCATGCTCCTTCAGCCGGGTGGGGGTGGGGGGCAAAGGTTGGAAGATTTAGGACAGAGAAAAGAAAGTACACAGCGAATAGTCAAACTCTGGGACTCGCTCCCCCAGGAAGCAGTTTGGTGGGCACCAACTTGGTGTTGGGCGATTCTATTCCACCTTTTGTTGCAGACATGGGATTGTGGCGTGTCACATGTCTGTTTACTTTCCAGCACAGATTGCTGGGTCCTGTGAGCGAAACTTCCGCTCTGTGTATTGCTCTTGTTTAGACTCTCTCTCTGAGAAGACGGCAAGGAGAGATGACATGTTTCTTTGTCCTGATTTATGTATAATAAATTTGTAGTTTTAGTATGTATCTACAGCCTCAAGCCTCTTCTGTTGTACAGTTTACTTTCAAGCAGGCTTGAGTCGCTGATTTACGTCAGAGCCAGAGGTCGATGTATCTCCGCAGCGGCGAAGGCTGAGAGGGAGACAATCCAGCTGGCCTATCGACCCCCAGATGCCAACACTTAGATGGCTTAAAGAAAGAATTGAACTAATTACCGTATTTTTTGCTCTATAAGACTCACTTTTCCCCTCCTAAAAAGTAAGGGGAAATGTGTGTGCGTCTTATGGAGCGAATGCAGGCTGCGCAGCTATCCCAGAAGCCAGAACAGCAAGAGGGATTGCTGCTTTCACTGCGCAGCGATCCCTCTTGCTGTTCTGGCTTCTGAGATTCAGAATATATATTTTTTCTTGTTTTCCTCCTCCAAAAACTAGGTGCGTCTTGTGGTCTGGTGCGTCTTATAGAGCGAAAAATACGGTGATGGAGGAGAGGGTTGTCAGTGGCTACTAGTCATTATAGCAACGGGACCCCTATTTTCCAAAAGCAGTCACGGATTTACAGAAGCCATTCTGGTTTCTGATTTGATCCCGGAATGTCCCACTTTTCCTTAGGACGCTCCTGTTTTCATTGGAGAAATGTCAGAGGGTGTGGAACTTTGCTCTTTCTCCACAGTTGGAGGTAGTAGCAATGCTTCTGAATACTAGCTACAGGAAACTGCAGGACGGGAGAGTGTTGGTCTTGCGTTCGAATCCTGCTTGCTGGTTTCCCGGATAGCCACTGTAGAACAGGATGCTGGCAATGGGACCTGACCTAGCAGATTTTTCTTAAGGTCTTACGTTGGCAGTGCTTCGAGTAGGTTGGCTGTCGCTGTGGGTCTGAAACGAACGACTCTAGACAAATTGCAGCAAATAACTATCCTGATTGGCTAGATATTTCAAATCTTAAGGAGAGGACCAGATTTAGGTTTGATGAGGCCCTAAGCTACTGAAGGTAATGGGGCCCTTTATATGTCCAGCTGTCCTTTGTCAACAACAAATTGTTGCT